TGAGTGCAGCATTGTGAAGCTGTCCACAGCCTCTGCAGCACAGGTTTGATTCCCGGTCGGCCAGGGAGATACCCACATGGCACGGCAGACCTCTCCTGTCTCGCCCGTTGCTTCCCTCAGCCCGCTGTTCCCCTCAGAAGTGTATTTCAGTCAATCTGCCTGTTCTGCTCCCTGCTCTCTCTCTGCTGAATCCCCTCACCCTCCCACACCTCTGGCCTGTACCCAAGTTTTGTATAAAAATAAATAAATCTTTTAAAAAAAAATGTAACCTAAGTAAAGCACTGATAGGCTCTTAAATTTTACTCAGACTTTTTACAGTTTTTTAAAATACGGCACTGTTTTCTTTTTCTGAGCACCATGTCAAGTGTTGCAAAGGTCTTCAAATTCACAAAGGCACTGCCAGTAAGGGAACAGTGTTTGTTTATGTGCAAATGCACACTTGGCCTGAATAGAAAGGTGATGAACTATTTTTTTTTCCACTTTAAAAAACATACATATGGTTGAGTTCATCTAGTGTGACAGCCTAGTGAAACTGAGAACAGGAAATCAATTACAAATTGTTTGACTTCATTTAGTGTTGAGTTCTTAGAGATATATAATCTACCAAAGGTACTCAAAGTTAGACCATAATCATTGTCCTATATTTTGGATGACAGAATATACCTGCCACCATTCCCCATACCCTCCCACATGATAAGCCCATGGCAGATATCATTAATCAAGTAGGTTGCTTATGCTAGCCTGAAATGCAAATCTCTGAAGTCACAAGTAATTGATTAGAGTTGGCATCAAAAAAAAAAAAAAAAAGAAAAGAAAGAAAGGAAAGAAAGAAAGAAAGAAAGAAAGAAAGAAAGAAAGAAAGAAAGAAAGAAAGAAAGAAAGAAAGAAAGAAAGAAAGAAAGAAAGAAAGAAAGAAAGAAAGAAAGAAAGAAAGAAAGAAAGAAAGAAAGAAAGAAAGAAAGAAAGAAAGAAAGAAAGAAAGAAAGACTGTATGCCTAAACCACTTGGCATGGCCACAATGCTAAACCACAGGTATTTGTTGCCACACACTTCTCCCTGGCAAGCCACTGCAAAAGAAAACAAAAAATGAAGACAAATAAGAGTTGTATATATGAAATATACTTTAAGACCTTACCCAATGTGGGCAAGGAATAGTGGATAATCTTCTGGATATAACAATTCTGAAAGCAGCTGAAACACTTGGGTAACCTAGCAACCCCTAGCAACTACAAATATCACAGGAAAAGGGCATAGCATGGAAATTTTCTATTTAATTCAAATAGTCTCATTTTGGTGATTAAGACTTAAAAGATATTTATGGTTTGCTCACTTAAATTTCATAAATGAAGGATTTTAATCATAGGGAAAAGAATACATTCCCAGACACAATCTGGTTTTTTAACCTTTACATCTCTAGGCCATGCTTTTGATTGCTGCCAAACGGAAAACTACGACTCTATTTTCACTGAGTCTTTGTAATTTCTGCAGCAAACTTGTTTTATCTTTCATAACTAAATTTGTAATGTCACTTGCATTGTCACAACCAAGAAAGCAGGCATACAGACCTATATATACAAACACATTCATGCATACACAATGGAAGAAAAGCATTAGAAATTCTAGTATTGGCTTTCAAAAAAAAAATGTTCTCATTCTAGTCATGTAGGAAAAGCAATCAATTCACAGTTCCTTGCATAAATGGATTAAAAGAGCTAGAATGTCTATCAGGGCAACAATGGCAGAAGTCAGAATGATTCAACTGTCACACATACTACTTCAGTAAAGATATATAGAGCTACTTCCTTCTTTATTACCAGCTACACCGGACAGATGTATCACTATTTACTTAATCACCTTGCTATTATATCAATGAGCTAATTTGAATGACTGTGATATACCCCTGCTTAATTAATAAGGCAATGCCCAGGGAAAAGCTCTGGAAAGATAACCACCAGAAAAGCATGATTATCTGAGAGAATGGAAGTGTCAAGGTGAGCTTATATTTTATTCACACTATTTATGTGATTATTTAATAAAGAACACATACTCAGGTATTAAAAAAAAATAGGAGGAAGGGCGAGAATAACCCAGTTTTCTTGGTTATTCCCAGTTCTAAATGGTCATAGGGAAAGGTGATGGCACTAAGACTGAAAGTTTTTCCTAAAACACCTCCTTTTCATTACGTATATTGCATTATTCTTTATTTCTAACCTGCCACCTCTCATTCAAAATGACAACTTCTTCCCACTAATACCCAGGGAGGTGGGGGAGTGGGAAGTGTGTGGATATACTCCCCCACCTAACTCCATCCCTAGCTGCTACACCCCTAGCTGCCCTTTCCTTTTATGACACTGTTTTCTTTGTTCCTAACTGTCCTGTGATACCAAACAGGGGCCTGGGAGCAAGAGTCCAGACAGCAGAGAAGGAATGACTGTTGATAGACAGAAGGAATGTCCGCAAAGGAAAAAAAAGGAATTGATAGTTTATCTGATGCTTTTGAGCAATTTAGTCTTTTGATAATCAGTATGATAGACAAAAAAACTAATCAACTTGAAAATCAGGCAATTATTAATTTGACTGATATTAATTTAGGGAAAAATAAGGTTCTAGTAGAAAGGAAATAGTGGTAGTTATTATGGAATTCATCTGTGAATAACGCATCTGATTTTACCAAAAGTTATGATTAATCTCACTGGGAGGGATGAGGTAAAAATGGGGAGGGGGTAGGGATGTAAAAATAATAAATCCTGTCTACCAAAACAAGAATTCAAGAAATCATTTCTGAAATTGATAAATCAAGAAAATGTGACATGACATTTTCCAGTTAAGAAGGTAAATACTAGAACAAACCACTAAAAGTTGAAAGAATCTCTGAGGCACAAAGCTGGGGAAAGGGCAATTATTTATTTTCATTATAAGCCTTCTAGTTTTGACTTTTTAAACCATGTCCATGAATTTCTTTAATAAAAAGTAAAATAGATTTTAGAAAAAAAGAACTTAAAACTTAGAAATTCCAAAGGAATTCAAAGAAGGATGAAGGAACTGGAAAAACATGAAAAGGAAGCCCAAGCTACCAGCTACAACTTACTTACCCCACCAAAGGCTATTAAAAGAGAGAACTCCTCGGGCCTCCCCGGTGGCGCAGCGGTTGAGCACTGGGCTGTGAAGCTGCCTGCAGCCTCTGCAGCACAGGTTTGATCCCCGGCCACCGGGGAGGGTCCCACAGGGCACATAGACCTCTCCTGCCGCCTGCTGCTCCCCTCAGCAGTGTACTTCGTCAGTCTGCCTGCTCTGCTCTCCCCTCTGGCTCTGGTGAATTCTCTCACCCTCCCGCGCTCTGAGTATACCCAGTACTTGTATAAATAAATAAATAAATCTTCAAAAAAAAATTTAAAAGAGAGAACTCCTCAAAGGAGTTCCAGCTAGGAGCCTAGTCAGGCTTCCAGGCCAGGCACTTCTCTATACCAACTGGCAATTATAAGGCTCAAAGGACAGAACCAGAGGCACTTCATTTACTAAAAGAGGTAAACTGATGAATTATAATGCATATGGAATTAAGTATAAACAGCAGTAGAATTTAACAAATTACTAGGGTACACTTACTGAGATCTTGTGATGATTTCCAAACACTACATATAATAATGCATAGCGAAAAACTGCAATTCTATGGCAATGGGTAAATGAAGTTATTTCATCTCTTGCCTTGGAATTTAAGTTTAAGCAACAGCATCCATTTCTGAACATGTATTGACTGAAGATATCAAAATTCAAATTTAGTCTACCCACAAAAAAAATTCTCATCAAAGCAACTTTAATCATGGAGGCCTGAGATCCCTACACAAAAAGAAATCAGGCACTTGAAAGGAAAAGCAAGGACTAGTTTTGTTTAGAAGATCACTGATATGCCAAGAGAGCCTCCAAATTTCTCAATAACCCCATTCTCTAGACAAAGGAAAAAAGGAATAACCAGTGATATATATTATAGAAAATCCTGACAGGCTAAATTTCTTACACAATTATTCTTCTTGGTTTAAACTTTTTTTAAATTCAGAAAAGTAAGGCACACTTAAAAATGAACCCCCAAGGTAAGATTCCCTGAAGGTTGCTTTGTGCTACCAATTCACTGATCATAACCTAGAAGTAATTCAAAATACATGCATAACTCCTCAAAAAAATATCCTAAGGGGGGGAAAAAAGTGACTCCAAAGTGACTAAAAGTCATACGTAGGAAGACAGCAAACTTGTTCAAAGCACCTATTTCAAGGAGGGGGGAAATGATATGAACCAGGAATGATTGGATTTTATTCTTAAAAAATATTTACAGAAAAGTATTCAGGAACTCATCTTTTTGGACAAAGCAATAGAAAATGGATTTATTTTCTATGACTTCAAAAGCTTGCTATAGTGTTTTCATGATAAACTTATAGTTCAAAAAAAAACAAAAAGCATCAGGAAAACTCCCTCTCAGTAGCATCTTGACTTTCAAAGTCTTATCGCTAGGCAAGTTCTCATTAAAAATAAGAAACAGAAGCAGCAGCAAAAATCTGATTACTCTTTCACATCTAAAACTGACTACATTGTCGTTTGCTTTTTGCAAATTAGACATAGGAAGTATAGCATACCATTAAAAAGATTCCACTTAGTCTAATGACTTACGTGCTATTTAAAATCACAAATAATTTAAATAACATTGAGTTTACCTGAATGCATGTTAATATATACAGATTGTTTATGCCCATTTTAAACTTAAAAATGAAAACCTATAATTTAAAATTTAAAATACGAAATAATAGCTCAAAAAAAATTCCCACATTGAAAGCAAAATCAGTCACACTATTTTAACAAACCACAAAACTTACATTTGCCTTATTTTTGTGTTCTCACCAGGTGGTCTAACTATACAAACAAATCAAAGCAATTAAAAAAAAACTATTAGCATTTGATAAAGATTAGACATACTAGACAGTAAGTATAAAAAATACAATATATTATATGATAAATTTGAATGCAAAAATCACTTATTTATTAAACTTATGATAAAACTGAAAACACCAAACCAGTTTTGTTTTAAAGTGCTCCTCATCCAAAACCTTGGACAAAATCATCATGAATTAAAAAAAAAAAAAAAAAATACCAGTTTACAAGGCAAACAATGACAACAGGTATGGACAGGTACTACCAAAACAGTGCTCTTTTGTTCTTTAATTAAATAACGCCATTCTCAAGTGATCTTGTAGAGCAGTTGCATTGACAGTTTTTTTTTTTTTGTATAAATATTCAAAATTTAAAAATGTCTCTAGATATTTTAAAGAGCTGCAAACATGAATACCATACAACAGCAGCTTAATGTCTATTTTAGGGAAAAAAGCACTAAAATCCTCTTCCATTGAAAGTTATTTCTCCGGTGTAAGTGAGCAAGGTCACTACAACATTAACCTCTTTTCTAGAACAATGTAAATAACAATGTATACATATCTTAAATTTGGTAGATCATAAAAGTTAGGTTGTGATCATTTTTGATGAACAAAAAAATAAATAAATAAAAATTAAATACTTTAACCCAACATTTGGTATTGACAAATCAGTAGTGTCAACTTCACATACGAAGGACAACAGGTTGTTTTTAAAAATCCTCAATATTTCATGGAATTTGGGCAAAAAATATTTAAAATATTAAGTGTTTCCTTTTGCTTAAAGGAATACAAGACAATCACCATCAAGCTGCTATCGTAACTCATTTTTAGCTAGAGAAAAGTGACCAGTTGGTCCATGGCACAAGTTACATATATCACACTTCTATCAAAATGAAACCTTATGTGTATAAGATTTCATGTTTATAAGTTACAATACATACTGACAAAGCTGTCAGTCCCTCACAGTTTATTAGAAAAATATCTACATTTGTCCTTATGGATGTCAAAATGTTACACCATCATTTGTGGTTTTTTTTTTTTTAAAAAAAAAAGATGCACATTCATACTGTGAAGTTATTAGGAAAATACTCTTGCAAATAAACTATATAAAGATAAAATACACTTCAAAGGTATGTGGGTTGTTTTCTGTTTGTTTGTTTTACAATATTCTATAAAGTGCAGAGAAATTCTAAGGGAAAAAACTACTCCCTATAACAAGTTTAATTACAGCAGCTTTTGCATAGCAATACTTAGAGGAAGTTGGACACTTCCATTTCCTCAGGAAGAGAAGGATGGAAGATGATCTTCTGATTCAGATTTTTTTTTGGCCATAAGTCTGCTTTCTTCAGGAATGGTTGCTGATGCCAAATCTCCATTAAGAGTATTTCTTGAACAGTGAACAGGTCCTATTAAGAAATTGAAAGGTTAAATGTTTTATCAATGTTAACTCTAGTCTGTACAAGAACATTTTAAATTTGCTATTCAGAGATATGAAACTTCTTTAGCTGCTGCTAATTTTTTTATTGTTTGTTTTTTTTTAACCCACACTTTTTTTTAAAGATTTATTTATTCATGCATATAAGAACCGGGGTACAGACCAGAGATGTGGGAGGGAAAGAGGATTCACCAGAGACAGAGCAGGGAACAGAATAGGCAGACTGACTGAAATACACTGCTGAGGGGAGCAGCTGGTGAGATAGGAGAGGCCTGCCGTGCCATGGGGGTATCTTGCCAGCCAGCTGGGATTGAACCCATGCTGCAAGAGGCTGCGGACAGGCTCTCAGTGCTGCGCTCAACCGCCTGTGCCGCCAGAGGTCCTATTGTTTGTTTAAGACAGAAAAAACTAACTTTTCTACTGTTGGCAATCACAGAGAAAGATTTCAGAATTCATGAGATAAATTATGAACTATCTGAAGTAGATATATTTATTTGTTCATCATTAGAACCATGACTAGCACATAATGGGCAGTCAGTAAGTATTTGCTGTATTAAATTTAGCCTTTCTTAATTAACTATTGCTTTTTCAACCTGGTTTTAATGTTAGCATCTCCTTGTTTTCCACGCAAAGAAATCAAGACCCTAAGAAGGTTACATGGCTAATCCTAGATCATACAACTAGTAACAAGTCTAGGACTAACTCAGGTCTTGTTCTTTTCTTTACAAAACTTTCTGAGCAAAAAAAGGTTCCTTATTTCCATTTCAAATACAATGCACAGAACTATCACTGTAGCTCCAAGTGCAACTAAACACACTGGTAGGTTTCTGTTCCAAATCAGCTGCACTTTTACACCTACATAGTTGTTTTAATTTACGATGAACATTTATTACTTTTATAATTTTTTTAAAACCTAACAAAAAATAGAAGCAGTTGCTTCTTTCAAAGAGAGTTGCTTCTTTCAAATATTTTCAATATTTTGGGATAAAGATTTTCTAAGAGTGACAATTACAAAACCCCTATTTTCTAAGGAAGTCTGCTTTGTCAGCTAACTCAAACACTAATGTTTAAAATAAACTGAAGGATCCACTCACCAATTTTTAAAAATCCTATAAAATTAATATATATGTATGTATATAAATATGCATGTATGCATGTGGGAGTGTGTACGTGCAATGTACACATGTGTGACTAGTTTTGTTACACTCAACAGCTAAATCAGGGAATGCTAAATATAGCAAGGCAGGTACACTTAAATTTTTAAAAGTCTGGATATACCTAACAAGAATAGAGCTAAAAAATTGCTTTCTGTTTTGTTAGAAAGAGATAGATATACATGGCAACTAGAGAAATGTACAAGGCAGCACACAGAAGTTTTTCATGGACTCTGCATTGAAAGAGTCCTGTATGAAAGGCAGAAAGAATAAGATAAATCAGGATACCCAGCACCTAACCCAGATTAACATTTCTTCACCAAACCAAACCTTTTCAACCCTCTACCTTCCTCTTTCCCTCGTTTTCCGAGTCATGCTAAAATGTCCCAGGGAAGTTTCTTTTTCCTTCCTCTTGCCACCTTCACTCCCTTTTCCTTCCTTCATTTCTTGGTTACCCATTTCCCTGACTTAAATTCAAAATGGTAATGAACACAAACTAGTGCTCTAAACCAATGGATTATTAGTTCTGTAAGGAAATGGACATTGGAAAAAAAGGTGCTATCAACTTCTAAAGATCTGAAAATGACCATCAGTTCTTTTTTTTATTATTTTTTAAAAGATTTATTTATTTATGCGCACAAGAACTGAGATATAGGCCAGATGGGGGGTGGGAGGGGAGGGTGAGAGGATTTACCAGAGACAGTGGGGAGCAGAACAGGCATAGATCTACTGAAATAAACTGCTGAGGGAAGCAGCAGATGAGGCAGGAAAGGTCTGCTGTGCCATGTGGGTAGCTCCCTGGTTGGGGATCGAAACCTGCTGCAGTGGCTGTGGGCAGCTTCATAGTGCTAAGACTCAATCACTTGTGCCACCAGGGAGGCCCATGCCAGCAGGTCTTTAAACCATCTCCACTACCTACCTAAACTTTTACATTATCCTCTAATTAAATTTGTTTAACTTTCTGATTAAAACCACTCTCTCTTACTATTTTCAATATATTCAAATATATATTCAAATACTAGAACTCCAACACCATTATTATCTGTCCCATTTAGCCATACTATGAATTAACTGACTCTTCTAGACAATTTAAAGACTCTAACTACAATTTATCATGCTGTTTCCATAAGGGAAATAAAATCTGTATTCCAAACAACTCTTGGAAATATGTTCCTTTATCAGGAGCTATATGCAATTTCTATCCCATATGCTTCACAGGCAACAATAAAGACTTTGAAAAACAAAAGTCCATTAATGGAGCTATAAAACCCTATTCATGATTTTACTGAAAATCATGGCCAATACTGTCTAACTAGATATTCTTTACATTTTCAAAGTTTTTTCTCTGCAAGAAAAAAATAATTAAATTTTAACATAAATCATAACACCTTTCCTGAAAGTATTCACAGTATGTTGCCTCTTTAGTAAGGAAGAAAAAAAGAGCAGGAATAAGTGCTACCATAATTCACCACCATCAAACAAAATTATTGTCTTTAGTTATTCCAAATTATTTAAATAACAGTGTTGGCCTTTTTTTCTTTGAACTTACAATTTGCCTTTATATTTCCCTAGAATTATACACACAACTCATGTTCTCTTTTAAATATTTTTTAAATCAAATGTAGTGGAAGTAAATATTAATAAGGATTACTAAAATATAGTGGAAATGAAGTATTTTGGTATTACATATAAATCTAAGGTGTGATATTTACAAAGAGATACTCAGCACTTCCTAGTTATTAAAGATGTCTGTAAGAAGGTACATGAGCTGCTATTGACTGTGTATGCTGCTTGCTTACCTCTGAATGAAGGAATTAACCCAAGGGTAAAACTCAGTTTTCAGTGTGAGTACCCTTCGTTGTAGCAATTATAGAGCCCCACAACAATTCTGCAGAATAGGACAAAAAAGAGACAGAGCACATCTAACTTACTATCTGGGTCTTCAAGAGAAATATCATTACAAGAGTCTGTATCTGAATAGGTTCTTCGGCGTCGCTGTGAGAGTCGGTGAAGTGTAGACACTGGTTCTTTTACAGAGTGGCTACTCCTGCAAATTAAATTAAAAACCAATAAATTTTAAGGTCCTAAGCAAATGAAAATATCTGAATTTAATATACGTTTTAAATGACTTCTCTTTAAATGAAAGAAGTAATTATTTTTATGCCCAGCATCCCATGATAGCAACACTCCACTCATTCAGAGGTCAGGTAACAAGCAAGTCAAATCATTTAGACTTCAGCTGGCAACCTAGAAATATGGCCTCTCAGCTGAAATAATAGAAAATGGATATAATGAAGAAATGACTTATTTTATAGAGGAGGGTTCAGCTAGACAGTAGACATATCACATGATTAACAAGTGTTTGAAAACTAAGTTAGGGATTTCACCAAGCGTATGTATCTAGTATCAATCTATATCTGATAAAAAAAATAGCAGTGAAGAGAATGGGCAAGTAGTTTGGGAGCATGAATTCAACTCAGCAAGAGCAGAAAATGATGGCAAGGAGGAAACTAAGAAAAGTTTTTTCAAATAAATCAATTTAGAAAATGAAAAAATTAGAAAACTCAGTTTAAAAATTCAACATAGAAACAAATCACTATCACTCAACAGCACCTGAGTTGCCATTCTATGACAGCCCAAAATTACTGTTCTTAATAACAAACTTAATTAAGAAAAGAAATAAAGTTTAAAATTCATATTACATCTCAATTAGGATAGGATAGTGTACAATTGAGAAATATTTCTACAATAAAAACAAAAGCTTGTCAAAGGCATAAAGTTCATTTTGGGGAGAATTTAATTGGTGAAATTCTTCATTTACTGACAGGGTTGGACACATACTTCACTGGAGTTCTGAGCATATGATAACATGATAGTTCAATCAAAGACTACAGAATTATCAGGTGGGGGGTAACAAAATGATCTAAGGGTTCACTTAGCACTTAATATTCTTAGTGTAGAAAAATAAATACTAACGTCACTATAATCTCATTACTTTTCAACAAACCAAATAAGGAAACTATAGCAACTTTAAAGAATATTACATACCAAGATAAAGAACCCTTTAATAGTGTTGGTTATTGGCAAACTCTATCAAGAAGGCAATTGTTTCTATGTATTAATATGTATACTTTAAAATAGCAATTGATTTTTTTTTCTCTTTTCAGCAAATTCTTAGTTTCCAATAATAACAGCTCAGTATGAATATAATATGCTATAAAAACTATAGTAAAATGAATCTAAGGTCTGGGGTCTTAATATATCAAAAATTATTTCTGTTAGTTATGGTTTGATATAATTTCAGGCATCAAAAAAGACACAATAACTTGCAAGGTGCTTACCTTGCTGGTTAGTTTATTCCCTCATTTTTTTTTTTTAATTGACTGCCTACTAGGGCCAGGCCCATACTAAACACAAAGGTATTTGCTGATAAAGTCAGAATGAGACTCTGTCCATAGAGAGTTTAAATCCCACACTATTTTATGTTAAAGTCCAAAAAAATTTCCCTAAATAGATAAAAGTTTGAAAGAAGTTGGCAAAAAAAATTATTTTACCTGTCTGAACTGCAAGAGCCAGGGTGGCTGATAGAACGCTTCATCTAAAAATTTAAAAAGAAAATGGGCATAATCCATGTCAAGTATCATAATGCACTCAATTCATTATTATAATTAACATAACTTTATTCAGAGAAAAAGAATCTTTCAGCTATAGCTAAAATAATTTACTTTTCACAGATTCAGCTAACAATATTAATTTCCCTCCAATAACCATTAAGTAAGGTGTTTTCTGAAATTAAAAACAAAGAGTTCAATTATCAAATAAATTTTTAAAATGCTGTACACGACCTCTTTTTCAGAGATTCGTAGTAACACAGCATAAAAAGCTAAGAAACTGCATGATAAGAGACCAAATTTAAGTTAACCTAGCACTTCCTAAACTTAACTGGCCATAAAATTCCCTTTCACACTGTACTTGTCTCAGAGGATATATCATTAATTCATCACATCTTGATTAGAAAACAATAATGTAAACACATTTTGGTAATAATATTTACTAAATCTCATATAATTAGATTTGCTGGGGTGGGAATGGATCTGTGAATAAGCTGGTACTTATTCTTTCTTCCAGTAGTCTTTAGGTAATTACTAAAATAGCAGCCATGTGGCCTTCTTCCTTCTACAAAGGGCTCCTAAAAACACTTCGATGAAAATGTCTTATCAAAAAGTGTCTTATCCAATCTTACCTCACCTACAAGTTCCCCACAGCATGCTAAATCAAGTTTATTAGCTTGGAAAGGACAAATTCACAATCCCTGACTATTCAGAAGGAAGGAAATTAATATTAAGCACCCAACATTAGTAGGTCAGATTCCTTGTAATGATCTCTGTTATAGATGACAATTTATTTTATAGATGAAGAGATTAAAGTCCAGAGAGATTAAATAACTTGCCTAGTGGGAGGTTTCAAATCTAAACACTGACTCCAAAACATTGTTTACCCTATCAAATGTGTTTCAAATTCCTTAAAACTCCTTGAAAGATTTGTTCATTTTACCTCATTATGGGTAAAACATCACCTGATTGTGGTATGTTTTGCTCCCCAACCTTTACCTTGTCATAGCACACATAAAGCATTATATTTTCCTGGCACACTGGATAAATGCACAGTCCCTCTGGGGGAGGGGGCCAGGACCTTGGCACACATGCTAAGCTTACCAGCTAAGAGGCTCCAACACAGAATGTGAGTACAAACAAAAAACTCAACCGACAATTTCCTCCCACTGCTAGTTCCCACCCTTAAAAATAAAAAAGGGCCTCCCCTGGTGGCGCAGGGGTTGAGCGCTGGGCAGCAAGACTGCCCGGAGCCTCTGCAGTGCCGGTTCGATCCCTGGCCGCCGGCAAGGGTCCCACATGGTGCACAGACCTCTCCTGCGGCGCCTGCTGCTCCCCTCAGCACTGTATTATGTCCGTCTGCCTGTTCTGTTCCCCGCTCTGGCTCTGGCGAATTCTCTCACCCTCCCGTGCTTCTGATGGTACCCAGTGCTTGTATAAATAAATAAATAAATCTTTAAAAAAATAAAAATAAAAACAAACACAAAAACAAACCACATGCAATATGACTGGAAGAAAAGCAAGACGTTCCAACCATTTGAACAGGAGAAGGAGACACAGGAGAAACTAAGGGATCCGGATGGGCAAGCTGAAACATCTCAGGTTTAAACTTGGCATTCGCTATCTTCACACATTCCTCAAGAGTTGTGATGAATGTATTACATGTGGCACTAAGCAGAGAAGAGGCTTCATTCATATTCTGAAAAATGAACACAGAAAAGGATGAACAGATTTATGTACAACCATGTACTGTGTTATGTTCAAATCTATTGAAAAGATAGGCCTCCCTGGAGACGCAAGGGGTTAAGCACCACACTGTGAGGCAATCCACAGCCTCTACAGCACAAGTTCGATCCCGGCCAGCCAGAGAGAAACCCACACGGCGAGACAGACCTCTCCTGTCTCGCCCGCTGCTCCCCTCAGCAGTATATTTTAGCCCGTCTGCCTATTCTGTTCCCTACTCTGTCTCTGTTGAATCCTCTCACCCCCCCAACCCTGCATCTCTGGCCTGTACCCCAGCTCTTGTATGCATAAATGAATAAATCTTTAAAAAAAAAAAATCTATACTACTTTGAAAAAATTTATTTTTTCAAATTTTAATTTTAAGAATTAAAGCAACATGAAAAAGAAGTATCTGTCTCTCAGGTAAACAACTTGTGAAATTAGATTCCAAGAAAAAGTAAGTTTTGCGTTTAAACCAAGACAATGAAAAACCAAGTATAAAATTTTATCTTAGATAAACCTAACTTAAACAGTGACTTTCTAATTATCAGAACTCCAAAGGTGATCAAAATAGTGAACACCCTTGAGGTTACTGACAAGCACAATTCCACTGAACCTCCTACTTCTTCCTAAAGAGAATAAAAAGTCCAATTTTTCTTTAGGACAGCAAAGTGCCCTGACCCTGCTGATGAATACAGACTGGTCTAAATCAGTCATGGCTATACCATGACCCTTTGTCAAATACTCAAATTTCTCCTTTAACCCCAACCTAAAAGACCATGAGAAGTCTAATGCTAAGTTTCTTGGATTTCTTGTTCCCTGTTATAAGCCAAGGATAGTAAATTGATAGGGTCTTTCTCCACCTTTTCTATCCCACTGCCTTCTGCCTATGTGACTTGAGCAGTCACCTTGAAGTCTGAGGCATGAATAGAAAAACTCAAAGTCAGAGTGGTAGGATGAAATAAGCCTTGGTCTACAAAATTGTCATTGAGCTGCTGGAGTAAATGTCAGGATACCTACCTCTAGAGAGCTTGTAATGAAACAATAAGAATAAAGAACCTGCAACCAAACGCGAGCTACCTCACACAAGATTCCACCCCATAAAGAAAATGTGTGGAAAAGATTTTCTTGTCCTGCTTCTCCCAAGTTAAGCAAAAAAAGTCTGGGAACCATATTGGCATTTTCGCCTGGAAATCAGTAGGGCCCACTAGTTTTATTTCATTAGAAATAACCAGATTCCATAAATCTGAGAGTTGATTCCCACATCACTGTTTTTAGGATTTTTTTTTTTTAAGTTATTTCATAAAACAAAATTATCAATTCTCAGCAGCTTAAGCTGGGACCTTTTTAATCCAAAGAATGAGAATAGCAGTTGTCTAATGAATTCATGTAGCTGATCTGCAAAACAAGACCTAGACTGCTTCTTCCCCACTCCAACCTCCAAATTATCAGAGAGGCTGCAAAAACAGGCCTTGATTCCCAGGAAAAATGTGCTGACTCCTAATTTACTCTGGCTGCACAGAGAAAATCTACAAGATCCTACAGATTTCCGGGTAGTCTAAGTAGGGACAGCCCAGAATAGCTGAAATAGTTGAAAATAACTCATTTTGAAAATTCTTCTCTGTCACCTTATGGGAAGAATGTCACCCACCAGTGTACTGCAAAGCATAGCCAGACATGAAGGTATCAGCTGTCATACCTCTATGCTGGGAGGTGAGTGATTCTCATCATGGTGAACAAATTCCTGGATTGTATGCACTTGCTGCATTAGAAGATCACAGTAAAGGCGAAGTTCAGACATTTTGGTTTTCAAAGATTCACTGGTTTCACTTATTTCTAAAAGGAACACATGTAAACATTCAATTAGATCATTTTTATATTCTTTCAATGATACATAAAAATGGAATTATTTTAAAGTTAAGGCAACAGGTATAAATATCTATAGTGTAAGAAGCATGAGAACATGGAACTAAGATCCCAGGCTCTGAGGAAAACCCCTACTCTTTATTTAGATAACCGGGTGGAAATTTGGCAGTCATATGTCTGAAGTTAAGTTTTGGTAGATTAGCTTCTAGAGACAAGATGATGACCACTAAATGTCTTAGGATATTTTCATGCCATTACTCTTTTTTTTTTGTTTGTTTTGGAAAAACATGCACCAGAAAAAAAAATGAAAAATGCTTGTATCTTTTTGAAAACAATTATTTGAAAAGTGTTTGTATTTCTTTTTTTTTTTTTTGAATTCACTTTTCTTGCCCTTTACACATTCTTCCAGTTCTGATGTTTGGGTATTTCCCTTAGTAATATCTACACTGATGACGTATAAAAATTCTTATTCATTAAAGACACCAGTCTTTTGTCTACCTTACATAATGCAAATACTTTGAGATCTGTCAGCTCTTACTCTTGATTGCATATCTTAGGTTAAGCTTTAAATTTTTCTGTAGTTAAAACTATTGTATAAAAACATTCACTTATTTTCTTCTCTTCCTTTCATAGCTTTATTTTCACATTACACTGTTTCCAGAATTATTAAGAGCTTACTGTCTTTAAATATCTCCAGACAGGCTGAATACCTTAGATTATCTCAGCTACTCACTTATCAATGCCTTTTAAACTAGAGGTGTAGACAACAAGGGCAACGATAGAGGGAAATACATATAGCAGATCCTGGTGCTTCTGCTTCCTTACCTGGTGGTGCTGCTTTGCAGTCCTAGCCTGAAAGCAGGTTATCTGCTTACTTAACCTAATCTGAATTAATTTATACCCCAATTCATGTCCATTCCTTTTTTTAATTACAGTAAAATGCACATAACCAAACATCATTTTAAACATTTCAGTATAAAGTTCAGTGGTATTAACTACATTCATAGTGTCCTACAGCCATTATTTCCATCTATCTCCAGATAGTTTTCGCCTTCCCCAAATGAAACTGAGTATCCATTAAATGCTAACTCCCCATTCCCACTCCTGCAGATCCTGGGAACCAGCATTCTACATTATGTCTATGAATTTGACTAAGTATCTTATATAAGTGTAATTATACTATGCACAAATATGTACACATACACACATAAATATATATCTTGAAGGTTCATCCATGTTGTAGCATGTGTCAGAATTTCCTCACATTTTAAGTCTGAATAATATTCCCTTATATATATATACCATATTTCATTTACCCATTCATTATGGACATACAGGTAATTCCCAGCTTTTAGTTATTATGAATGTTCATGCCTTCTTTTTTTAATAAATTTTTATTGAGGTAATATTGGTTTATAATATAAGCTTCATATGAACTGCATTATAATTCAGTATCTGAATATACTACATCATTATCAGCATCAAAAATCTAGTTTCCGGGGCCTCCCTGGTGGTACAAGGGTTAAGTCTCAGCACTATGAAGCTATCAGCAGCCACTGAAGCACGAATTTGATCCCCAGCCAGAGAAATGACCCACTTGGAGCAGCAGACCTCTCCTGTCTCGCCTGCTGCTCCCCTCAGCAGTGTATTTCTAGTCAATCTGCCTGTTCTGCTCCCTACTTCCCCCCTCCCGACCCCCCCCCACCTTTGGTCTACACCCCAGGTCTTGTATGCATAAATAAATAAATCTTAAAAAAAAAAAAAATCTAGTTTCCATCCATCTCCATTTAATTGACCCCTTTTACCAGTTTCAACTAACTTTCAACCCCCTCCATTCCTTACTTACCTGAATGATACATACTCTGTCCATGATGGTCTATCATATATTTGAAAAGTGTTAGAAATTAAATTCTCAGGCTTTGCTTTTCAATTCCCATAATTTAGCTACTTTCTCTAAATAAAAAAAAAATTTCTATGGTTTTCTAATTTAAAAAGTAACATATCCAAAATGAAAAATTTTGGAAAATAAAATATATAGAAAAGAAAAATCAAATAACTGCCATTTCACTAAGATATAAATACTGTTAATATTTTCATCTACACATAATTGAACTAATACCACAAATTATCTGCTTTGCTTTTGATTTTTATTTAATCATTTTGAATTGGCAATATATATACATGGTAAAGTGAAAGGTATCAAAGGATATATACAATGAAAAGTGGGTCTCCTTCATATAAATTGCCTTTTCAAAGGTAACAACAACTTTGGAAAGTCTCTTTCTTGAGTTGGTCAATGAAATGATAAGAAATTTTGAATTCTGCTTTTATCAAATATCATTTAACCTTGGGCATTTTCTCACATCATTAAAATTCCTTATAAACAGTCTCCTAGGTACACAGTATCACATCCTATATCATCCCATAAATTACTAACCCATTTGTCTAATTTTAAACCTTACATTATTGTTTTTTAAGATTTATTTATGCATACAAGAACTGGGGTACAGGCCCCAGGTATGTGTGGCGGGGATGTGTGAAAGGATTCACCAGAGATAGAGTGGGGAGCAGTGGGCAAGCCAGGAAAGGTCTGCTGCACCATGTGGGTAGCTCCCTGGTCAGGGATCGAACTCATGCTACAGTGGCTGCGGATAGTTTCATAGGCTGCATCTTAACCCCTTGTGCCACCATGGAGACCCTAAATCTTGCATTGTTTACAAAAAATTTTTTTCCACACTGATGAACATCTATGTATATAAGTCTTATATATTCCTGACTACTTATTTAGGCTAGGTTACTAAAAGTGAACAGGACAATTTATATTTAAAACTATATTCTCACCATAAGGGAAAAATTTAGTCACCTTTTTCTTTTTTAGTCCTGGTATCAGTCAAACAGGCTTTGGAGCTTCCCAGAGCAACCAACCATCTCTGTCTTTCAGCTGCATTCACTGCCTTCATATAGAAATGCTGCTCTCCTGGAATGATTAATTCCATTCTTGTATTGTCCACTGAATGAACTATGAGGATAAATACAGGGAAAGCATAGTCACAGATTTAAGTAATTTGAGGAAAGTTAAGTCGGCACTCTTTGACAGTAGGAGATGTTTCAGACATCTAAAACAAACTATGATTTAAGATGCAAGCAGTGTCACTCCCGAGGAGGCTATCTGGTGGCAACTCCAAAACCACCATTCTCACATATACCCAGGCTAGCAGTGGTAGCAGCTTATGAATGAGAAAATAGCAGTGAGTTAACTCCTGAAGGGAGAATTAAGAACTCCCTCCCTTGGAGCCAATTGTACCCCTTTAAATACACCTGCATTGTCACACTTTGCAGACATTTTTCACTGATTTATTTGAAAGCAGCATCTCAATTTCGGTGTTTCCAAGTCTAGGATAGTGCCTGGCACATACATGTACAATGAATGGTAACTATAATCACCTACCATTAGAACAGTAGTCCTCAACTAATGCATATATCATGATCAACTAGAAAGCATGAGTATTCTGGAGACTTCCCCGTCATCCTCCTCTCCCTCCTCCTTCTCCCCTATACCCCTTTCCTTTCAGCCACATTCACTGCCTAATCAGGAACTATGCTAAATCTTTGCTGTGAAACTAAATTTGTGTGCTGTTGTCATATATCAACAACTATTTAGAGTTGCACCGATAAAGCCAACAACAAGGAAACCAAGGAAACAAATTTACATATCAAAAATATTAAAACAGCTAAATGTTGAATTCTTTAATGCAAAGACTTCATGTGGAATTATAATGAAAGAAAGTTACAAAGAAGCAGAAAAAAAAAAGGCTTCAGGGAAAAAAGATTCACAACAGCAGAATTTAGGTATGGAAAAAAAGGCATGAGAAAAGGCTTAACTGAGGAAACAAACAAATATACTATGGTTACCAAGAGCCCAAGCTAAATGGAACCTTGTGCTCTATTAGAAAGTAATGATATTCGTGAATGGATAAGCTGAGTGGAATCAAATTATGAGGGGCCCAGAGAGTCTGAGAAAAGCCCTAATTTGGATGATTTACTATCAGATGCTCATAATAGTAATATGGCACATAAGTACCACAAAAGCTTTACTATCTAATTCTATTTATATAGGTCATTCTTGGACATAGGTATCGAAAGACAAAATCATGTAATAATCAATGATGGGGGCAAAGGTTTCTAGGCTAAGAAAGCCTAAGTCTCCAAGTGCAAATCTTTTCTTGCTACATGCTAATACCAGTGAAAGTAGCAATAGCTACCTTAAAAGAAAACAATGCTTTTTAATTTCTGGTTATATTCCTACAAGATGAAACTGAAGTAAGACAACTCATTTTTAAATATACCAGAATTCATATATCACTCAAGGGTTGTCATCTCTAAATTAGTCACCTAAGAAGGCAACAAACTTAACAACAACATTGCCAAAACATCAAATTCCTAGAGAAGAAAATGATAAGACCTCTATGTACAAAACTGCAAAACTAGAGAGAAATCAAAGACACAATTAAATACAAAACTATGACCTATTAGTGGGTTAAAACACCTATGATTGTTAAGAATAAAACTGTCCCCAAATTGATGCATAGATTCAATGCAATTCCACCAGATTTTTCTGGAAAATTTTAAGTAGATTCTAAAATGATTAAGGAAATACAAATAGCTAATAGCCAAGACAATCATAAAACAACAAAGTTAGACTTAAACTATTACATACCAAGAAGGATAAACCAAAGAAATGAAGACAGTGAAATACTGGCACAAGGAGCAAAAACAACCCCATGAAACAAAACACAGCCCAGGAAAAGATCCACATATACAGTCACTAACTTTGTGACAAAGAAGTCACTACTGTGCAACAGTAGGGGCTGCTCTTCTCAATAAATGGTGCTCTGTCAACTGAGTATTTACAGAAGGAAAAAAATGAATCTTGAACCCTACCTGATACCATAAATAAGAAAATTTTAAGTCAATCACAGATTTAACATAGACCTAAATATAAAACGTAAAGGCACAAACCATCAGGAAGGTAACAGATTTCTTAAGAGGGGCATAAAAAAAAAATCAACAAATTGAACTTTATTAAAATTATGAACTTATAGCCATCAGAGATAAGAACTTATATCCATCAAATACACAGAATGAAGATGCAAATGACAGAGTGAGAGAAGGCATCTGCAACAGAGTGAGAGAAGGCTTCTGACTATATATGAAGTCTTACAAACCAACATGAAAGTTCAATTTCAAACTGGGCCAAACACTTGAAAATGGACTTCAAGAGGACATTCAAATGGCTAATTAGTAACTAAATTAAAAAAAAAAAAATCAGCATCATTAGTTGGAAAAGAAATGTAAATTAAATCTACCATGGGATACCATTGTACACACTAGAAATACTCAAAATCTTATAATTAATAATGCCTAGTTTTGGCATTATTGGCAACTCATACTCTGCTAGGTGAAGGGGAAAAAAAGGTACAACCACCTTTGTAAATATTTGACATTATCTATGATAAGGATTCTCTCTTTGATGAAATTTTAGTCAGGTTCCTCTTAGCCCTCTCACTGACCAGGCCTTGCCTTGGCATTTTGTCTCTGCTTTTGTGGAGTCCAATTTTAGCAATAATCCTGCTAAGTTAGTTTAATCAGAATCTCTCATCCTCCAAACCTGACCAAATTTCTCTCCTTCACTATGCTCGAGGTAATACCTGATCACTCTGGCCTGCCTTAAACAAGAATTCTGTTAGGTCAGTTTGGCAAGAGTCCCCACTTATCCCTGATATTTCCTCCTAGTAATTTTCCATCCACTGATCCTCCTACTCTGCTTCTAGACTATAAATTCAGAATTTCTGTATTAATAGTTGAGTCTACTCTCTCTCTCTTACTACAAAACCCCACTGAAGCAGTCCTATCATGATAGACATAACTAAAGCCTGCATTACTATTTTAATAAAGTATCAAGAATAACTTTTTCTTTAATATGTTAAGGTTGAATAGGTTAATATTCAATGCCTCAGCAATTCCACTCCACCTCTATACATAAACTTAACAGAAATGAATATATATGTTCAACAAAAGAAATATATAAGAATATAATGGCAACTTTACTCATTAAAATCCCAAAATGGGGAAAATATAACAAATATTCATCAGTACTAAAATGGATAGCCATATCGCAGGAGATTCACACAATAGAAATATAGTACTACACACCAATCAGAATGCTTGCACTACTATTACAGAGCAACACAGATGAATTTCATAAACATAATGCTGAAAGAAATCAGACACGAAAGCATATATTGAATTCTTCCATTTATAAAATGTTTACAAGCAGGCAGTAATTACCTATACTGATAAAGTTAGATTAATGGTTATCCTGTAGAGGGATTAGGGGTTGAGAGAACATGATTAATCCCAGCGCTCAGTTGATAATATTCTAATTCTTGACCTGGGTGGTGATTATATGAGTATGGTCACTGCCTAAGCATTCTTCAAGCTGAATATTTAAGACACTACCCTTATCTGTAAGCAATACTATACTCTGAAAAAATGTTGACTTTAAACCAACTATAACAACAATAATTTTGCCATGGCTTGAAAACATTTTAGAAGTATATTAAAATTCTGTTACTTCTAATCTTTCCTCAAGATTGGCAAATCTTGGAATCTTGATTATAGTTTGGTTTCCAACTCTCACCAAATCTCATCTGGAATGACTTCTGGGAAATACAATGAAATAAAACCATCTTCTTTTCTTAAACAAAACTCATCCTTTGGTGGTTTTATAAACACGTTCAAAAGGCAATTCCAAAAGAGGAGTTCTGAAATCGTATAGGGGGTGATAGTGTAGTTGAAAGTAAGTACATAGACTCTAAAAATGATTACCTGAGAAGCCAACATTTACTGGTTTACAGTATGTTTTCTAAAAATAAACAATAAAATTACAACCCATATATTTCAAGGAACCTGCAAGTAACAATACAACAAGCTAAAGCGCTTCTATATCTTAGGTAGACAGCTATGACCCCCTTCTATTAGAAGAACAGTAATTTCCAAGTCAAGAGAGCATGTTATAATCACCAGACGGGCATGCGCTTTTTGAAGAAAGCTCCCTGGATGACACTGATCTACCCTACACTGAGAATCACTGCTATAGAAAGAACCTTAGCAGTCACAAATCTGAAATAAAGATGAAGAATCAGATGCGTAGCAAGCAGAATTTCTCTTCTGTCTCCATAACTGAGAACTAGCACAAAACTCCACAAAAGTAGCAATCCAGTCCTGGAAAATATAACACAATGCATCTGGTACAACCTAAGTAAGAAAAAGCACTGAGCAGTAAGATGATTCTGGAGTAGCTGGTAGTGATGACCAAGAGTCACCATTAAGGAAAAGTATTCAAATTACAGAAGAGACATAAGGAAGGCCTGCAGGGGTTAACATTTATTTAACCTTTATTTACTTTCATTTTTCCTTCAATTCTCTTTGAAGAATTCCATTCTTTTCATTATCATTTTGTCTGATCTCTCCTCTCCACTATACACACCCAAGCATACAAACGAATTAATCAATGGTTCATGAAACCTTCCTCCATGAAGATTACAGCATGACCTGTTGCTTTTTTCTCACCTTTTGGGAAAAAAGGAAAACATCTCTTATCACCCAGAAGAGCTTATCTCCAATTCATCAAGGAAGCAAATCATGATTCTGATTTCATACTTTATCAAAAACCTACAAAGTTGGTCTTGCAATCTTTTAGAGTTCAATCTTTATAATATTTCCATATCAAAATAAAACAGAACATTGCAGATATGGATACTACACAGGCATTTACCAAAAAAAAAAAAAAAAAATTCTAGTCCAACCTGGAAAACTAGTACTAGTATTTCATTTCAAAGTACATTTAAAGAGGGAAAGATATCAAAAACTATGTGCCACTCCTGATTTCTAAAGAAATAAACAGAATTAGAAGATTCTTACTTGGTTAGAAATGCTTTTTCCCTCTTTTTGAGTATACAAAAGAACACTTTACTTACTTCAATTCCTTAAATTTCATATGTTCACTTACCTTTAATTTCACAAACTGCCATCTTAATGCTTCCTTTGCTCCCTTTGCAAACATCATCTTGTGAATCATAGTAGGACAGAATTCCATTATCTAAAACAAACCAACGAGGTTGCCAGCCTACAAAGATCATGAAAAACAAAAGAAATAAAGAAGTTACATGATATCGACTTACAATCCCAAACCTTGTTGTCATCTTATTTCTTATTCTAACAAAATCTTCTTAAATTATCTAAACATAAAAAATTGTTCTAACAATATGTATATTTTTATATCATTGTTCATTTTTCTACAATGTTTGATTTCTCCTCTCTGGTGTAGTCCCCATAAAACTCCCACCATCAAGTTACCCATGAACCACCACCCTGGTGTCTTGTGCACTTCCCGCCCAGTTTCCATCCCTCTCCCTCCTCTGCTAAATATCTCAGATTTATAGTTTGCCTGTCAGTTTTGTCTTTTTTGTTTTTCCTGATCCCTTGTTTGCTTCCCCTATATTCCTCCTATACGTGAAACCACCTGATATATTTTTCTTCTGACTTATTTCATTGAGCATAATCCCTTCTAGCTCCACCCATATTGCTGCAAATGGTATGAGTTTATCTTTTTTGATTGCTAAACAGTATTCCATTGTGTATATACACCATATCTTCTTGATCCAGTCCTCTGTTCTTAGACATGTGGGTTGTTTCTATATCTTAGCTATTGTAAATAGTGCTGCAATAAACATAGGGGTGCAGGTATCCTTTTGAATTAATGTTTTTGTGTCCTTTGGGTGCGTAGATTCCCGAGTGAAACAGCCTGGTCACACTGTAGCTCCATTTTTAGTAATTTGAAGTTTCTCCACACAGCTTTCCATAGTGGTTGGACCAGTTTGCATTCCCACCAGCGGTGTAAGAGAATTCCTTTTTTTCCACATCCTCATGAGCATTTAACAATGAAATTTTTAATAGCCACGCCTTGCCCCAAATGTTCTTGTATCAATATCCTCTCTCTTTGTTGAGAGAGATTTCTGGAGAAATCTCTAGATTCCCAGCATTAATATAGGGAGTAACACCTTTATTCTGACTCACAATTTTCTCATTAACAACCGAAAGGATTCAGTGTCAATAACAGACACGGAGTGCAACATAACTGTCCCCTTTTTCTAAAAGGGAGCAGAGGGTTGTAATATAACAGAAAAAGCAAGAGAAGACATGGAACCAGTCTCAGTTCTACTATCATTCTTTAGTTGGATAATATATGACAAATCTTATTTCAATAAATACCAAAAATTCCAAAATGAGTGGACTGAACAAAATGACAGCTCAGATGCCACGTAATCCTCTAATTCTGCAATGTGACCTTCCTCCTCTTATGAAATATACTACCTTACACAGAACGTATTAAATGAATTTCAGGTTCCTGAGACCCAAGCCACATACCCTGTGGTGAGAGTTTGGATTCCTTACCAAACTTCCTCCTTGTCCTACTGCTGCACCGCTGGGGCAAAAATGCTAGACACTGCAATCATTTATTTAATTAGTATTTATTCAGCACAACCGTCACAGACCTAACATTAAGGCAAATCCGAGAATGAGGATGATGGTTTTCTGAGTTCAACTCCTAGTCTTACAAGATAGACTTAGTGTTCCCTGAAATCATTTCAAGCATGCCATTAATTTACAAGAGTTCACTGATTAATAATATGGTGACCAAACTGAAGGCCTTGTTCTTTCAGTAACTATTAAATCATAATTCAGCCTGATCATCCTAGATTAGAGCCTGCTTATATGATTAATCAACTTCATTTTTTCAGGACCAAACAGCACCAAAATAGTGGTAAACAGGCAAAACATTTTTAAAGCCTACTACAGATTCAGGACTTACCTCCCCAAAAGGTTTTATCTGAAACACTTTTAAAATGCAGATACTGAATTTTTATAGAAATGCTAAATGTCATACCAGGGAGTCATAATACAGTTGAGAAAAGCATATACCCCAAAATAATGAAAACAAATTTTAAATGCTTGGAAAATTATTTTTATGAAACACTATATGCCTAATGAGGAATACCAAATTAGAAGGTAAACTCTTTTGGAACCTTAACTTCATCCTGTTCATCATCACATTCCAAGCACCAAGAATGGTACCTGACATACAACAGGAGCTAAGAAATGTACGTCTCAAGTGACTGACTGAATGAATACACGAATGGTTAAATAACAGAAAAGTGAGACACTGCACGTTACCCATGAGAGTACAGATATGCAGTTTATGCATGAATGCATCTTGTATGGAACATGAACAGAAATGATGAAAATAGTTATCTTTCCAAACACTAATTCACCTTGGCAAGCAGGCTGTAGGCGACCCCAGGTCCAGTGTGCCTATAGGACAAATTATGATTTTGCAAGCCACCATTATTGTGATTGAAAAATCTCTTTACAAATATTGAGCAAAATGGTTGGTTTGGAATTTGCAGCAACTTGAAAGGTGACTATGGTAGAGGAATTAATCTAATTAAGACTTATTTCTATATACCTTTTTGAAGAAATACTTTTCAAAAATCTCTAAATGAGTCACACATTTATATAACAGAGGGTTATACCTGTGAGAAAGATTCACAGGTATTCCTTTTTTCAATTCCTTTTCAAAAAATACATTTTATCTCAAACTACCAAATGTTACCAAAATCCTAATTCTTTGCAAATAAATCTCAATGAACAATGTCATAAACTGGAAGATTCCTTAAAGATCACTTAGTATGTACAGCTGCTCATCCTTCTGACCTAAGATTAAACTAAAATACTCAGCATGTCACCAAACCAAGTTTAAATTTTAAAAATGGAATTCTTCCAAACAAAAGATTTCCTTCAAAAGCTTCTACAACTGCATACTAGCAGTTAACTTAAATGCTCTGCAAAGACTAAAACTTTAAGCGAGTATGGTTAAAAAACTCAACCAGCTAGTGTTCAGAGCCACAGTAGATGAGAAAGACTGCCACCAAGACCACATTTCACTCTAAGAATAAATTATGACTCATCTCAATAATCGCTATTGCCCTGGGCTGTGCATAAGTGGTTCCTCCAAATGACCTCTTCAGAAACTGTATTTATGAACCATTGCAATGAGATGATATCTTATATCTGAAAGCACAGAAACTACTGTCTTAAAGTTAATACAATATCTCAATTAAACAGTAACTTCTCACAACAGACCAAATAAAAATGCTTACAAATATTTGCCTCATTTTTGAAAGATTTCTTGTTAAAACATATAATTGTAGAAACTGTTTGATATTTCAGTGGGACCAAAATAAAACATGTGTATATCATAGATGTGAATGCATTGCTGTTATAACTCTGGCTTTAGCATTTCAAATAATCAAAAGAGGCAATTGTAGCTCAGTGGTCATTATGCCTGACTGTGTTTATAGGCAGACTTAGCATTAGGTCAGGTGGACACAATTACCAAGGGGTTCAATATTTTGGGGAAAGTAAGTAAGTGTATGGTATCTCAAGATTTGCCTATTATACTGGTCCAACAAATGTTTGTTATTTAATCTTATTTTAAAGTTACACGCCACCCACTAATTTGGTAAGAACAGAGAACTCTGGAGTTGGAAGTCACCTTCAGGGTAAACTAGTTGATCACCCAAGCCTTATAAGAATGAAATCTTGAGACAATAAAATAAGTGATTTGTCTTATTGTTGGTTAAAGGCAAAAATGGAACTTCTACGCAGATTTAAGATTTTTAATAAGCTAGGCTCGTGGTATCAAAAAGGGCAGCCTTTTCTGGGGGTATCTCATTTCTACAGAAACATCTAGCTCTTTGGAGCTCTTCCTCCCAACCCATGTCATGGGTGAAACTGACTTGCCTGCTCCACTTGTAGGTCCTGCACTTTCTTCCACTATTTCTGACACACTCACCTGAATTCCGAAACAGAAAGGTGCCTCATTGATAACTAACCCTCGGAAGAATATCATATGGGATAACTTCCAAAATCATGCCTGCTACTCTCCAATTTCAACAAGAGAGCTTTGAAAATAAACCGCGTGGTTAAGGAAGTTAAAAGAAATACAGAAAAGGTTTCTTCAATGTAAATCTACGGGTTTAAAGATCCATTCCAGCCCTATACTCCAACAACTCGGCTGCCACTAGCAAAATGCTGAATTAAGTGTGAGTCAAGACGGATACCGCAACCACACATGCAGACAGAAATGTTTCGTAAGCTACAGAGGAAACCGAAGTATCAGCACGCTGGTAAAGTGGCCAGGTGCACTTCCCACCCTCTGGAGGGAGCGCAGTCCCAAGCGTCCCCTGCACACCCCACATAGGTTCTAAGAAGGGACCGAGAGCCCGAGTAAGCCCAGGAATCAGAGCCGATTCGCCGTAAGGGTCATCGCGGGCCAGGCAGAAAAAGGGGGAGCCCCTGATCGCCTTCTCCGCAGACTCTCCGGATAAGCCTGCCCCCAAGACCTCCGCCTGTCCCCGCTGCCCCCCCGAGGACCGGAGCCCTCGTACCTGTGAGATAGTTGGTCCACTTGTACAGAACCCCCTCCATGCTTCAGAGCCCGGCGCCGCGCATCCTCCTGGCCCGGCGCCGGCCGCGGTGATCCGGTAGGCGCGCAGCCTGGGCAGCCCCTCCCAGCCCACCCGGGCCCCTCCCCGGGCGCCCCCCGCCGGCACCCGCCGCCCTCAGCCCGCGCGCGCGCCCCCGGGACGTGGCGGCCCTTAGACACGGGGACGGCGGCCGCCGCGTGGAGCTCCGCGGCCGCGAGGCGCGGACTCAGACATCCCCGGGCGAGCCTCGGCGGCGGCCGCAGCTAAATCGCGACCGCGGCCGGCCTCCCGCTCGCGCTTCCGGGGCTCTCCCTTCCCGCGCCCGGCGCTCCCTCCTCTCGCCAGCCTTCCTTCCCCCGGGCTCCCCGTTTGTTTTCATTGACCCCGACGTCGCTTTCACTTCCTGGATGAAAGGGGCCGGCCCGGCCCGGGAAACCCCTCCCCGGCGGCGGGGCTGGAGGAGCGGGCGCGGCCTGCTGTCCCGCCGCGGCGCCGGAGGCTGCGCGGAGGGAGAGCGGGCGCGGCGCACCCTGGCCTCGCGGCCCCGCGCCTGGCGCTCCTCGCCCTCCGTCAGGCTCGCGGCCGTGCCGGGGCCTCACTTTGCCCCCGCAGCCTCTGAGGCCCGGGCCGAGCGCCTCCCGGGCCGACGCCTCGGGGCGGGCACGGAACGGACGGACCCGGGCCCCCCACACGCTCAGACCCAAACCCAGACCCCCCCCCCCCGAGGACCAGCCCCCCGCGCAGTCGCCCCGCGGGCGGTAGCTTAGGCCTCTCAGCTTTTCCTCAGACTAAGCCTCGGGTTCTTCCGGTGGATGGTTTTTCAAGAAAATAAAACACTTCCTATTTACGTTTTCTTCGTATCCTCCTCACTTTCGGAGTGGGGGTTCGGGGTGGGGGGCAGACATTTCCTCCTGGGAAGGCAGTGTGCCCCTGCGAGTCCCCCGGCAAGGAATGGCGAGGGGCTGCAAGGAATTGTGACGCAGGTGATTTATTTTAGATGACTCCAACTTAATTTAGCACATAAAACGTGGACCCGAAGTTTGGAGTTTTAGTCTAACGATGGGGACGCCCCCCCCACCCCCAAGCTGTTAGGATTTTTTTTTTATCCTTTTTTGAAACAACCGTCATCTTACATAATTGGCAATGATTTTCAGATTTGTGGAATTTTGCAAGCTTTTTAGCAGAGCAGGTAAAGCGAGCTAGTGCTGCTTCTTTTCCCAGCATCACTGAATAAGACTAAGACCTTTTCCCTTCTAGAACTTAATCCAGACCTTTACTGAAGTCATTCTGGCTTGGGCAAAACCTTTATGTATTCATTCACTTGGCAATCAGGTAAATTGATGGCGAATAGAGCTTAATGTGAATGATAAAACACAGGTGGTAAGAAAAGTATGGTGGTCGCGATGCGGTAGTAAAATTAAAATTTTAGTATATTTCAAGGTTATAATAAAATGTTGGGGGAGCGAGGAAATCTGGCTTTGTGGGAGACAAATTGCAGCTGCATATTAGCCGTGAGATTTGAACAAAATGTCCAACATTCAAGTTACCCCGTTTCTCCCCGTGCAATGTTGATCATTGCAGAGCATCTCACAGAGTTGGTAAGAGAAGGGACACTGATTAAGAGCTTTCCCAATAGCTAGTAGCCCTAAAATCCAGGGCGACCCCAAGTGGTGGGGGAAAGAAACACAAGCAACGGCCGGTCCCGAGTCGCCGGCATCAGCCCGTGGGAAAAGCCTTTAGCCGGGAGGGGAGCGAGGGCTCCGCCCTTTACTGGGGTCCTGGTGGTCGTCAAGGTTGTGTGTGTGGCTCAGCCTGGAACCGCTTAATGCATGACTCCGACTCCTAGAATGCGATTCGAGACACCCCTGAGGCACCCCGAAAGTCATCACAAGCTAACTTATTACCCTCAACTTCTAGAATTCCCCCCAATACGCAAGTTTTCTAGGGACCCGAGGAGCATTTTTTTAAATATTTATTTATTTATTTATACAAGAACCGGGGTACAGGCCAGATTCGTGGGAGGGTGCCGAGGAGCAGAATTTTTTTTTAGTATTTTATTTTATATAATTCTTACATCATTTTTCATTTTTGCACAATGTATGCATTTTCATTTTGATTATATCCCCCATACAATTGCACCACCTCCTTATTTTGACCCTAATCTTTCCTCTCCGCGCCCCCCACTCCCCCGCAGTGTGTCTCTGGTTCATAGTTGCTTGTTGATTTTGATTTTTACTTTGTATTAATTAGTCTTTTCCCTGGCCTTTTATTTTGGTTATCTAAATTCCTGCTATGAGTGAGACCATCCGGTATTTTTTTCTTTCTGACTTCGCTGAGCATGATCCCTTCCAGCTCGAGGAGCAGACTTTTAAGCCTAGAAATGACAACCACATTCACTGACCACGCCGTCCTACCCCAGGCTATTTTATTTCGTCTTTGGCCAGTTTCATTTTAGGAAAAGCGAGTGTTCCCGAACCCGAGAAAAGCGTCTGTGAAATACGCGGACTTGGAAAGGAGAAAAGGCACCCAAGGAGAAAATGGACGCCTGGGCGCCGGGACCAGGGCGCCGGGACCAGGGCGCCGGGACCAGGGCGCCGGGACCAGGGCGCCGGGACCAGCGCGCGGGCCGCCCCAGCCCGGCAGCGGCTCCAGGGCCCGCGCGCGGCGAGCAGGGGGCGGGGCTCGGCCGGCGGCCCCGGCCTTTGTGACGTAGGACAATGCCTGCCACGCGTCGGAACTCGCCGGGGCGGCCCGGGCCACAGCGACGCGCGGCGGGGAGCGCGGCGGGCCTCCGGGCCGACTTCGGGCATCATGCGTGTCCTCTTCAGAGTAGTCGTTTTCTTTTGTGTGTGGGACGTTTTTACTGCCCAGAAAGAGAGCCCAGAGGAAGTGAAAATAGAAGTTTTGCATCGTCCAGAAAACTGCTCTAAGACGAGCAAGAAGGGAGATCTGCTAAATGCCCATTACGACGGCTACTTGGCTAAAGACGGCTCGAAATTCTACTGCAGGTAGGAAATGCCAAGAACTGCTTCTGCATCCAGTGATGCAAGAAATCTAGCCTCCCTCCAGCAGCCTAATTGGTTGGTTGTTTTGAATGTTGTTTCTTATCGGTAAGAAGAGCCTGGGTGTGGGGGGATAGGGGGGAATAAGGTTAGATTCCCTACTCCCTATTAAACTGAGCATTACTTTTTATTTTTTTGTCTGATTTATTATTTTATTATATATTTTTACATCATTTTTCATTTTTTGTACAATGTATGCGTTTTCATCTTGGTTATAGTCTGAGTATTACTTTTTAAATTATTAAAAAATATTCTCCCAATGCCCCCCTGGTAGCGCAAGAGGTTAAGAGGCAACGTATGAAACTATCTGTAGCCCCTGCAGCCCGCCAGGGAGCAACCCACATGGCGAAGCAGATCTCTCCTGACTCGACGCTGCTCTCCTCAACAGTGTATTTCAGTCAGTCTGCCTGTGTTCTGTTCCCCTCTCTGTCTCTGGTGAATCATCTCACTCCCCCCCCCAACTCTGGCCTGTACCCCAGCTCTTGTATGCATAAATAATCTTTAAAAAAATATTTGCCCAAGAAGTCATCAAATATATGCTACACCCACACATATCCCTCACCACCACTACCCTTGGGGCCTATAGAACTCAGTAGAATTGCCTTGAGGATGTTCACCCTTTTATTTTTCTTGGCTTGGAGTTTTTAGAGGATTAGGTAGTTTAAGAGATCTTCAGAAGCACGATTTCTACAAGCCAGGAGACACTATCCAGTTGTACCAGGAAGCTACTAACTACAGTGACAGATGACTTCTGAGCCCTGCACTCTCTCACCTGCATGCCACCACTCCTGGTTCAGATTTAATTGTTGGTTTGTTATACTCAAGGGAGAATGTTGTTTTTATTCATCTGTACTATTACTATAGAAAGATAGAATTGGGGAAAGTTAGCTATTTCCCTTTAGAAGAAAATAAGGAAATTCAATAAGAAAAAATTAAAATTTTAATTACTGTTGAAACGACTTTTTGAGGCCAAATCTATACCATCTTTTTTTTTTTTTAGAACAAACCTAAAGAAGTTAAATGAGCTATTTGGACAAGCTGTGCAGCTTGTCAGGACCAGGAGACTCATTAAAAAGTTAACAGTTGAATAGTTTTTATAAAGATAATAAAAAAGAAAATGAGATGACTGTTAATGACTAGCTTTGGGCAAATAATATATGTCTCTTTCTGGCTATTATGAGAGAAATTTGAGCCAAACACTCCATCAGGGGGTTCAGAATGAGTGCTAATATAGGAAAAGAGAGGGATAGAGAAGACTCCAATTTTCAGTTATAACTAAATACCCATCTGTAATTCAAAGTTTGAATTTAATTTTCTTGAAGTCACGTTACCTAAGTGTTGTTTTGATTATAGCCGGACACAAAATGAAGGCCACCCCAAATGGTTTGTTCTTGGTGTTGGACAAGTCATAAAAGGCCTAGACATTGCTATGATGGATATGTGCCCCGGAGAAAAGCGAAAAGTGATTATACCCCCTTCCTTCGCATATGGAAAAGAAGGCTATGGTAAGGTGTTTTTAAATTTCTTCTAAGTTATATTTAAAAATCGTTAGACTTTTGGGTATACATTTAAAAGAATTGAAAGCAGGTCTTAAAGATTTAGATGTACACCCAGCTTCACAGAAACATTATTCATAGTTGCCAAAGGTAGAAATAATCTGTGTCCATTGACAGATGAATGTATAAACAAAATATGGTATAGACATAGAGTGGAACATTATTCAGCCTTAGAAAGACAGGAAATTCTGAAATGCTACAACATGGGTGAGCCCTGAATACATTATGCTGAGTGAAATAACCCAGTCATAAAAAAGAAATTCTGTATGATTCAACTTGAGGTTACATACAATAGTCAAACTCATAGAGGCAGAAAGAGAAGGTTGTTTGCCAGAGCCTAGGAGGAGGGTAAAATAGGGAGTTGTGGTTTAATGGGTATAGTTTCCACTTTGCAAGATGACAGGGTTCTGGAGATTGGTTGTACGATAGTTTGAACAATACACTTAAAATGGTTACAATGGTAAAGTTTATGTTATGTGTATTTTCACAGAATTAAACTTTAAATTACTCAAAAAAATGAAATATGATAGAGGAATTAATTGCAGAAGTTTAGGGGCCAACAAACTTCAGCTGTATCTAGTCCAGTCCAACTCAGTCACCTCTTTATACTCATAGAGAATGTCAGACATCATTGGGAAAAAGAGTCAGTTCCACATAACTACAGCATTTTAATGTTTTTTTGCCAGTTACCACAGAACCATAATTTGTATGTCCTATTTTTAGTTGTACAGGATCCCAGAAGACAGAGAAAATGAAAGATAATTTGAATGCAGTACCTGTGACAATGTTGTCATAGATTGAGGCCAGTTGTAGGCAAAATAATATAAGCAAATTTTCAATCTGTTAAATCTCATTTTCAAAGTTTCCCTTTGTCTCATGTGTTTTCCCATCAGATATCCCCACATTCTGTCCATTACTGGAACACCCACTGCTTTATCTGCTTAGGATACCCATATCCCTCACCAATAGGTGCTTGTCCTATTGGGTACCTTTACTCTAAGGCAAATGCCTACTTAATTTATCCTTTTTATAAACTAATTTATGCTTAAATATGAATGACTAACCAGGTGCCTAAGCTGTTAATAAACCAGACCCTGGCTACAGAGATGTTGAAGTTTAACTTGAGAAGTTCATATTCAATATAAGGTGTCTCCAATAAGCAAAAATGATGAATCCTACTAGGAACAGCACCAACATCTTGTTTTACACTTAAGGAAACTGAGGTTCCCCCTGCCAAAGTGTGTACCTTAGGAAGTATTTAATGCTAACCTACCTGCATTGCAATAGCTTAGATTAGGTTATTTTAAAAGTTGCAGTGTGGGCCGTAAGTAACCTAACAAATGACTTCTTGATCAAATACACTTTTTAAAATAAGTTATTAAGGTCTAACATTAACTATAACTTTATTTTAGGTAGGACTTGAAGAAGTCTTTCCTCTGCACAATATCCTTGCCTCATGTCACAGATACCTCTGCATGTCTTGAAATGCATGTGCCTTTTTAGTGCTTTAATTAATGGTAATGTGGTATGTATAGATTCTTTAACTCCTATATACTTGATATGCTTCTCTAAATACAAGTAACTTTATGGAAAAATGCATGTTTTTCTCTTTCTTATTCTCTCTTTTTTTTTTTTTTTCTGGCAAGAAAAAGACTAATGGGCAATATTTTCTATGTTTATGGTAGAATTGTGCAGAAACTTCCTCTTAAGAAATTTAAATTTGTTATCAGGAAAAGTTTTTTTTCTGTCATAAGATCATGAACTGGAAAGAGTAGGAATGAATTTTGTAAAAGTAATTATTGAATCACTCTCTAGCTCTTTTATTCTTACTCTAGTAACATGCAACGGTGGTGAGGATTGTCTCATTAGTCATATAGTGCATGGGTAGGTTTTTCTATGGCTTTGAAATGACTGATAAAGCTCTTTTGGCTGTAACTTTTAAGTTCTTTTCTCTTTGGGTTATATAAACACTTTAACAAGAATTCTGCACTTTTCATTAAAGAAATTACTGTGTTCTCCAAAGGATAAACAACCATTTTTTAAAATAAATGTTAAGTGTCATTCATTCAACAAATATTTGAGTGTCTGTAATGGATCAAGCTCTGTATCAGATTCTGGAAATATACTGGTGACAAAATCTACCCACTGCCTTTTAGCAAGTCATTTCTGCAGGTCATTTTTAGGAAATGGTCATATGAAAAACCCCACAGAATCATCTGTGATAGCAGGTAATAGATTTTTTTTTAAAGAGAACTATTCAACTAATACTTAATTTTCTGTTGTGATGAGAAATTTCTTCATAAAACTGTCATTGGACTATTTTGTTTCCATTGTGCTTAGCTTTTAATGTCTACAAAGAATTTGAAAGGTAAGTATTAACACATTTTATTTACAATTCCAAAAGCTACACAAGATCATTTTCTAAGAGATTTCTGATCTATACTTTCAAGTTTTTCTGCCCTTGCATTTCTTCTCTGCACCTGCTCTATCCTGTATAATGATGGGGCATATTAATAAATAATACACAATTTAAATTTATTTTTATTTAATCAGGAAATGATAATCACCTAGGAAATGAAGTCTTTGAACTGACTTCATTTGAAAACATGGGAAAAATTGATTTAAAAGTATTTAGAAAGCAAATTTTATAAACATGAAATTATGCAATCATGCTATTATAGCTATGTGTAAATGAATATTTGAACATTATTGTCATATAAGTTAAACTGTTAAAATTTATATTCTTAGCAGAAGGCAAGATTCCACCGGATGCAACATTGGTTTTTGAGATCGAACTTTATGCTGTAACCAAAGGACCACGAAGCATTGAAACGTTTAAACAGATAGATACTGACAATGACAGGCAACTCTCTAAAACTGAGGTAATTTAAACAAATTGTGTGTATCTAAATTTCCCGTCACAATCTAACTGCATCTTTGTTATAACTATTATTTTTTAGATCTGCCTCATGTGGGCTGATTACTTTGCTTTTTTTTATTTTTTTATTTATGCATACAAGAATTGGGGTACACACCAGAGGTATGGGGGTGAGAGGATTCACCAGAGACAGAGTGGGGAGCAGAACAGGCAGATCTACTGAAGTACACTGCTGAGGGGAGCAGCGGGCGAGTCAGGAGAGATCTGCTGCACCATGTGGGTAGCTCCCTGGCCAGGGATCAAACTTCTGCTGCAGTGGCTGCAGATTGCTTCAGAGATTGCGTCTTAACCCCTTGCGCCACCAGGAAGGCTCTGATCACTTTGCTTTTATGGAGCTAGCTACTAAAAACTTTAAGCTCTAGAAAAACACATGCATTTTCAATATAAAACTACCACCAAATCATCCTGTTCAATTGCCTTGCTATTGCAAGAGGATCATTAAAACACCAAACTAATCTCTATAGGGCATTTCCATCTCTTAAATTATAAGAGCATCAGATCTCTTTTAAACAGCACTATAGGAATTTATATTATGGCAAATAATTCCCATCTGGATTGTGAGAATACATAAAATTATGAAGAAATCTAGCAAGAACCTGAATTATTAGACAAGAAAGTTAGTAAACAGGTGTTTAGAATTCAGCTACCTAGCCTTCATATACCAGTTAATTTTATATATGATTGAGGGCTTAATGGAGAACTTGAATGATGATAAAATGTTTTGCCCATGTTCTCAGTAACAGGTACTATTATAAGCACATTTGTGTGTGAACCGATTTAATCTTCATGACAGTATATGAAGTAGACACTATTGTCATCTTCATTTTATAGAAGGGGGAAATGATGTCCAGACAGATTAAGTAACTAGCCTAAGGCCACACATCTCTAAAAGACAAAACCAGATTGCAACAACCCCAGCAATCTGACTCCACTATTATTCTATTAACCATGGACCAAACTTGGCTCTTACAGGGAATTTCCATCATGAATGCGTCAGGGCTAATGTTTGTTTTGTTGAAATTTAGTATCTTACCCAGTCCCAATGACTGTACACTTTTGCTTAAATTGAGTTAGCCCAGTTATCTCCACTCTTGCTTGAAGACAATTAAACATGTATAATTCTCTCACCTAAATAAGTAAAGATAGGCAACTGAATCACTGATTTCAAGTGATAATAGGAAGCCCCTTTTCTGTGTTTCTTTTGCCCCCTCCCTCTACAATCCTTTCCCCATCCTAATTCTGCTCCCTTTTTCAAGAAATTATTAAGGGCTTTCCCTTGAAGCTTTGCTAGTCAGCTGATGGAGAAATAAAGGAATGCGAACATCCCCTGTTTCTTAAGGGCACTTATGTACTTTCTGTTGGCTCCTGATCAACCTGTAGAGTGAACAGTAGATGAATTCATATAGCACCCAAGTCTCACCCTGTGCACAGAAACCATCCAATATTACTTGCACAGCAAGAAGTGTATACTGCAGTGAGACTGGTTTCCACTAGACCTTAGGTGATCTTCTGTTCTTTTCTGGAAAATGAAACTAAAGAAAGTCAAAAATAGTGACCTGCTTAGCTACAGTTTGCCGAGATATTTCTCAGGTTATCAGGTGTCAACTGCATTTTCACTAAATGGATAGTGAATTTTTGTGCATGCCTGAATAATAAAAAAGCTATCTTTTATCGACACCCACAAACATTAATCCTCACATCAATCCTACAGTATAGATATATTTTCCCTCCTTTTATAGGTGACAAAACTAAGATTCAGAGAGGTTAATTTATTAATTGAAGACCACACAGCCAATACATGGCAAGGCCTGGATTGAAAACATGAACTAAAAGAAACACTTTACTTCCTTATCAGAAGAATTAGTCAGCTATTTCTTCAGGATAAGTAAGGTGGGGGAGAAGTATTTATTTTCTTAATGGCTATGTGGAAATAGTAGGATCCAATATGAGCAAAATTAAGGTCACGTTCTTTCCCACTGCCTTTTTTACCTCTTCACTAGAGTGTACTAGAAAAGTACATTTTGAGAGCCAGCAATATTGGTTATGAAAAGATAATTTACTTACTTAGGAAGTGAGGAATATTTGAGACTAAAATCTTTACATTTACATAAGATAGCTAAGTTGGAAGAAAAAAAATACATCTCCCTTTTCTAGAACAGTTGATATATTTGTTAAGATTCATTGATCATGCTACAATAAAATCAGCTTGTGATGGACTTAGTTTGGGATATGTATTGTTCAAAACTGCTCAGGGTTCAACTTTAGCCTTTAAAAATATCCTTGTCCCTAAAATGCCGTAGCCTTGCCAAACATTTTCTCTAGATAATTGTGCTTTGCTCTCTTAGTTATTAAATAGATTAGCACTTAACAATGGAATTATGATTGAATCCCATATATAATTTGAAAATTTTTAGTAGTCACACTTTAAAAAAAGCAAGTGAAATTTTTGTGATCTATTTCATTTAATTCAATATATCTAAAATATTACCATTTCAACATGAAATCACTATAAACATTACCATAGGAAACTTTATTATCTTCCAATTTGTTATGTATAGTAACCTAAAAGTAGCATATTTCACTTCTCTCTGCCCTCATTTCACATGTTTAGTAATCATGTGTAGCTAGTAGCTACTATGTCAGGTAGTACTTAGAGTGTCTTTGTGTAGAGAAATGTCTTATTATATAGAGAAAGCAAGATACCTGTTCTGTATTTGACACTATTATTAGTTTGTCATAGTTATGTATATTTGGGGGAGCTATAAAAACATAGGGAACTTAAAAAATTGAGTTTGATTTCAAAATGTATGATAGGTTTTATTGATTATGTATGTAAAAGTACTCATTATTTTTATAGATTATAAATACCAGTTTGGATTTTATTTACTAATGGAAATCCTTGAGAGTGATTTTCCTTTGATAATGTAGGCAATGTAGACATTCAGTTTCAGCAAAATTCAATTGAAATGTAATCTTTGTGTTTGTACACTAACCATCTATAATCTCTGGAAAGCTAAAGTGAAATGTTTCTCTACAGAAAATTGCTTCAGTTATGAAAATAAAACCTCAAATAGCTTTTAAACTTTTTGTATCACTTTCAGTCTCAGATATAAGTCTTTATGTAAACATTCCTCAAAGTCATTAGGAGTGTACTAGCATGTCTCTTTATTAAGAAATACTATTTTGACCCTCTAGATAAATCAGTACTTGGAAAGGGAATTTGAAAAAGATGAGAAGCCACGTGACAAGTCATACCAGAATGCAGTTTTAGAAGATATTTTTAAGAAGAATGACCATGATGGTGATGGCTTCATTTCTTCCAAGGAATACAATGTATATCAACATGATGAACTATAGTTTATTTTTCTATCAGAATTTCATACTGTGCTTTATAAAGTGAAGTCACTTTTCTCCAAGATGTATTTTCTATTTTTCACCCATGAGAATATATTTGGACACCTCCTTTGCATGTAATTATGTTATAATAAATGTGAGACTGTTTTGCAAGTTTAACTTTGAGGAAACGTTCTATTGAATTTCCTATTGCTTTATTGACTTCTGTGTCCCAGTGGGCAGTTTTCCCCCTTTGGAACATATATGGCAAAATCTACAAGCAATTCCTAATTCTAACCTTAACAGCATAAAATAAGTATGCAAATGTCCCATTTATGTTAAAATGCCCCAGGAATTAACATTTCATTTGCTTATACATTTCATAGTTTATGCACTCAGTAAGATGTTAGTATAGCGCTGTCCCAAAGAGAGCTTCGACATACTCTCTGGTATTTTTTGTACAGTTTTCTGGCTTTTGGGTATTTGTTCCAATGAAGAATGTTTAAAGATATTTAACAGACCAAAGATGTTCTGCCTCTTAAAGCAGGCATGATAAAGTCTATATTGCTCTGAGTCTTGTATTCCTTCAGACATCAATATAAATATGCCACTACTCTTTCTTGCCTACTCGACCATCCCTAGACTTTTTGTCTTAATTGTTTTAAATCAATGCCACAGTGGTTTCCAGTCCCCTTTCTCTAGGTGTCACCTTTCTGTGTCACTTCATATCACAGTGTTATTATTAATGATGAGCATTATAAGCTGGTATGCTGTCAAATATTTGATAAATGTGAAAATTTATTTTCCACATGAGGATATCAAATGAGAATACAAATGAGGACATAGAGTGCTGTGGGGATTTTGTGACATGGTCAAGTTAAGAAGAGGAGGTAAGAGGGCCTCCCCGGTGGCGCAGCTGTTGAGCGCTGGGTTGCGAAGCTGCCCGCAGCCTCTGCAGCGCCGGTTCGATCCCCGGCTGCTCCCCGGTCACCGGAGGAGGGTCCCACATGGCGCGCAGACCTCTCCTGCCGCCCGCTGCTCCCCTCAGCAGTGTACTTCAGTCCTTCTGCCTGCACTGCTCCCTGCTCTGGCTCTGGTGAATTCTCTCACCCTCCCGCGCTTCTGAATGTACCCAGTGCTTGTATAAATAAATAAATAAATCTTTAAAAAAAAAAAAGAAGAGGAGGTAAGATATGCTATAGATTGATTTTCATTGGTGCCAAAGAAAGGGCACATCTTTATTGAGACATGAAAGATTTTTTTCTTCTGTGTATGTAGGAAAATATGGTCAGGCAGTAAATACCTATAGATTTACTGTAATTATAGATTTTGGATTTTAGAAACAATATTTTTGCTGTGATTTTAACAAGAATATATGGTAGATAAATAATTTAGGTTAGAAACTGGTAAAGGAAAAATTCAGATGTCTCACAGAATAGATGGGGAAAAAAAATCTCTGAGAATTAAATGTTTTAAATATTTTCAAAGGAGAAAGAAATAAGTGTGTCCTAGATGCCTCAACTTTAAAATGACAGCAGTGAGTTTGTATGAAGACAAACCCGGCAAGCATATGTACACCACATAATGGCAGCCCATTACTACTATCAATCACCCTGTTAACTGTGTACATAAAACCCCAAACTGTGCTCAGTGTGCTTTTAATTTGATACTACAATTAAACATTTAAGATTGCATTCAATTATTAACACATTTTTCTCATTTTACCAGACATGGGGCAATAGTTAAACCATAAAGTCACCATTAGTGCACTCTTGTCATCCTTAAATGTTGAATTAAATGCAGATTACAAATAATATTTAGAAAAATCTATGTAAAAAGCTATCTAAAACAATAGACTAAATCTTAAAAAACATTTCTCAAGTGACCAGCAGGTGTTATGAAGGAACACCTTCATATTCTGAATTCTATACTTAAACCTTTTTTAACATAAATAATAATATTAAACTTCATAACAATTTATGAGGTAGGCACAGTTATCATCTCCATTTTATAGATGGGAAAATGATGCCCAGACAAGTTAGTTTTTCTTTCTCCTTCAATTTGCTGCAATTCACCAAAGCAACCCTAGAGAATTTTGGAAAGGTACGTAGAATGGTTGCACCCAAATAGCAACTGGTACACTTTTCATTTTATTTCATTCTCTTGTGCCAAACATCAAAACAAGGAACTGCATGAAGTCTCACATACTTCTGCCCATCAACAGAGCACTGAAAGCACCCATAAACTGTCTCCCTTTTTAAGTTCCCCATTCCACAAAGTATGCAAGGCCCTTTTGGGATATTGTGATTAAGTAAATTAACTCGAATATGAGTCCCTTCTTTGAGTGAAATATCAGTCATGCTGAGAGGTTTGTCATAGTAGTCAGAAAAAAGATCATCTAAGTAAAGCTGTGAACGAGAAATGGCATCCATCACTCTTCTGTCTAAAAGAACAAAAACAGAGAAATGTGTCAGAAATCAAAATTAAAAAGGTTATCACCAAACTGCATTTATAAATACATGAATCCATCATGAAATGATTTAGCTTTTAATTTTAAATTCTTGACAGCATTCTTGAATCTGAGAAGAAAAAAAAATACTTTGAAATAGTCTTCAAAGTACATACTTCTTTCAAATAGTATATTTCTCAATCTGTAGAGCAGTGCAAATGTTGCTGTTTCCTCCCTTTCAAATCCTCCTTTTGACACTGAAGTGACACAAAGGTCTATAAAAAATGATAGAAGATATTATTACTTGAGCAACAATTTGTTGAAAATTTTGGTTATAGACAATGAATTCTGGTACATGCCATTTGTTTTAAGTTAAATTTTACATGTTTTTGGAGAAGATAATATTCACACATTACAAAATCCAAAGACAACAAAAAGGGGATACTATGACAAATGAGGTTATAGTATACCCTGGCCCCAACCTCAGTTTGCCACCCCAGAGGTAACTACCATGACTAAGTTTCTTGTGCATACTTTCAAGATATGCTCCATATCTTTTTGTTAAAAAAGATTTACTTATTTATGCATACAAGAACTGGGGAACAGGCCAGAGGTGTGGGAGGTGAGAGGATCCACCAGATACAGAGCAGGGAACAGAACAGGCAGATAGACTGAAGTACGCTGCTGAGGGGAACATTGGGCAAGGCAGGAGAGGTCTGCTGCACCATGTGGGTAGCTCCCTGGCCGGCTGGGGATCAAACCCACGCTGCAGAGGCTGTGGACAGCTTCACAGCGCTGTGCTTAACCCCTTGCGCCACCAGGGAGGTCCATATCTTTTGCAGCATAAAGGGATATGTATGAATGTATACCAAATTCTTTAGGTCCAAATATTATGTACTGTACACATTTCTTTGAAATATCTCTTAGAGACTCTCCCATGTCAAGATCTATGGTGCTTCCTCATTCTTACTGTCCTCATAGTATTCTGTTGTGTGAATGCACCATTTTTAACCACTTGCTGATAATAGATATTAAGGTTATTTCCTGAGTGTACCTGCAGGATAAATTTCTAAAAGTGTGAGACTACAGTATACATACATGATAAATTTTGATGGATGTATCTATATGTCAGTTTACACTTCTGCCAACAAGCAGTACCATGGTAAAAACCTATACCTAAAGTTTTCCGAACAGAATTTCTTTGGCATGTAGTTTTGTTTCTGGACTCCCTAATCCTTCCTTCCACAGAACTGCAGAAACAAACTAAATGAGGTTTAAAAATGTTTATAAATTACCCTGGCTAGGGGCTCCCTGCATTTTCTTTGGGCTCACCTAGACTTGAGCAACTGGCTTCCTAATCTTAAAGACATGAAATGTGGAAGTCTAAAGCTACACTGAGGTGCTAACCCAGGTGATAGCGTCAGAAGTATTTGTTCTTTTAAAGTTATTTCATAAGAAGAGGTGGGGGGAGGGGTGTTCCACAATGAGCAAAACTGAAGAAAATAGGGACAAGAGGATATTTCCCAGGCACTTCACTCTAGCACAGGATTCTATAATTCTTAGAAGAGAGAGCTTGTCATTAAATTCTTCTTAAAAGTAAAATCATTTGAGTGTTTCATGCAATCATTCACTTACCAAAGGCACCATCCAAGTAGATGAAGAGTTCAGAAACACTGAAAGCTATGGTTGTGTGTGCTGGAAAAACAATAGCTTTGTCCCTTCCCTTGGGATTCTGTTCATCCATAAAATGAAACTATATTAAATAAATAATAATATTAATGTACATGTTATATAAGGATAGCTTTGTGGAACAGCAAAAACATTTTCTACTATTCTCCAACCACACACACACAACCCCTCATTTAAAGAATTATCGTACTTGAATTAAACTGTTTATTAGCAAAGGTACAAATAGTCCCATTGGACTCATAATCTCTGTTAAGAAAAACCTCAACCACTTTATCATTTGCATTGCATTGCAGTCAATGATTAGTGCTTCAAACAGTAACACTCTAGCAGTATTTTGCTTTGGACTACAAATCTTGGACTAAAACTTTGGACTTTTGTTTCAAGGCCCCCCAAGCTTTCCAAAGCTTTCTCAAGCAATCTTCAGCTTATTTTCCAAAGCAATCACCAAAAACTAAGGAAAAATTTCAGTTCCTGCCCCCCAAATGATTCAAAGGTAATCAATTTGGTGGGCAGCTGAATGTAGCCACTGAACAGAATCCTTTATTTGCAAAGATTACCGCTGAACTCTCTTTCTAACAATTGGTTTTCATAAAACCAAGTCATTATTATGTGTCACTGAATGACAAGGACAAATAATATAATTGAAATAAAAATTAAATCTCAAAATTTTTTAAAGGATTTAATGCTGAATGAAATATGTTTGGTGATTGACAATATTATTTTTAAAGACAATATTATTTTAGAAAAATTAATGTAAAAATATAAATTCAGCTTTCCAAAATACAGGTATAAACCACATCACTTAAAAATAAAAATCAAAGAATTCAACATCACCCTCTGATTTTTTGCTTAAAACAGTACTTGAATAGCAATAGAAGGGACTCCAGTATGCACACTAATTCACGAAGATTAGTGTTTTGCTTATATTACATAATATAATATAAATATATAAATAATATATATAAATATATATGTATTTTATATAAATTCTCTTGGATGTTCTTTCATATCTAAAACGAAACCATTTCTGTACAAAATCCTAGATGCTTCTCAATAGTATTACAACTCCATTATCTCAACATTTGACAAAATGCACAAGTCTCACTGAAAAGTACTTTTGAAAAATTCCCATTGCAGCTTTTTAGTAAAAGAAATTAATGAGTGTGGTTTATGTACCCTCATAGCTTCTCCACGAATTCCAGCATGCACAGACAGTGAGCACTGTCGTGTGGTTCGAATGCTCTCCATGACCACGCATAATACTGCCTTTCTGTTGCTCCTTGACTGACGTATTAAGCTGTGGTCAAAATTAATTTTTCTAAAATAAAGAAAAGAGTCATTCACAAGAATCTATGACATCTAATTACAGTTATAATTAAGTACATATTTGATATAATGTGTTAACTTGGTCATGGTCCATCTTAACTAAAAGTAAATCAAGGCAGGCCTAATACAAATTAGAAAGTATAGTCCAAAGACATTTAATAATCTTCCTCTCTATTTCTTAAAAACATGTTTATTATAGGACTTTGCATTCAGCATGTCTGCTGCAGCAGATTCCTATATTCTTTTAATCAAATAATTCAGCAATCAAATAATTCAGCAAATGTATTCAGAGCCAGAGCGATTGTGTGGAATAATTAAAATTTCTGCTTAAACCAAATGATTTTAGACTTCTACCTTTATCCAAAGTTTGGATATAATTTGTAGTATTTCAAACAAATCAAAACAAATTACTCTATTAAATATAACCTGAATGTTTTATTTACAGAGAACATTTCATTCTTTGTAATAAAGTTGATATAATTTATGTAATTAAAATAGTTAATGAAAACATTGGAATAGATTAAGTACTATTATACTGACCGGGTAGTAATTTCCTTGAGTAATGTTGGTACTTCTACTTCATGTTTGGTTACTACACCAAATGAAGCTTTTACTGCAATGGAATCTGATCCAGAAACATTAATCCCAACATCATTGACAATATGGTTGCCTCGCCTTCCATAAAGAGACACATCTGATTCATCTTCATAATTCAGTAATTGATAAGATGAAATACCTTTCAGAAAAATGAAATTAATATTTTTAAATGTCTTGAATTTTCTAGTGTAGATCATATATAATAGCATGTTAATTTACTATGCAAGACTTGATTACCTAAATATTAATGAAAAGATACCACTTCAAACCAAGATCAAAATAGCAAATCAATTAATTTAACAGCAAAAATAAATACCTGGAATACTTAAACTAAAATTCACTCAACAACTTTTTAAGCATCAAGATCCACTGGTGGGTTGAAAGAAAAACAAATGTTTAAGAGAAATAATTTGTCAAAATGCCCACTTATCTCTAACTATCCTGAAAATACATTTCAGTTTACCAATTGTAATAGCTGAATCATAAAAAATAAACACATTATTTTCATATCATTTGACTCAATGAGATAGGTAAGACTAAATGATACCCCTATCTTACAGATGAAGAAATACATCAACTCATATTCTCAGTTCATTTGGCTAATACAATTTATAAAACAACTGAAATAAAATTATACAATGAATTATCTTATAAAATAGGTTTGAAGATTATTCAACCAATAAGATTTAATACTATATAAACGTTAGGCATTATTAATATTACACTACTATTGTAACAAAAGTTGGTTTTATAAGTGAGATATACAATATCACAAACATAAGTAGTGTTTACACAACTATGTTTAGATTATAACAAAGAGCTGAATGAATAGTTACTACCAAGCAGATATTTAAACTTACCAGTTGAAATTTCTCTGTCTCCTAGAAGAATATCTTTTAGTGTAAAAGGCGTGGAAGTAAATTTATATCTAGGAAGCAGAAAGCACCGCTTCTTTTTTACCACCAGACTTAGAGGTTGGTATCTGTCAGCCTCACTGAGACTTGGAACAGGAACTAATCTCCCTCCATCTCCAACTTGCTTGACAAAGCTCTTGGTAGCGGCAGCAAACATATTAATATGGTATCAAAAAGTCATCAACTGCAACCCTCAGATAATAAATCCATATTTTCAAAGAAAATTAGGCACAAAACTAAATGTTGATTTTAAATATAATTATACACCTTAAAAGAAAGCATGGTTCCACCAAGTAGTTTACCAGTGTACAATTCACAACACTGCCTCCCTTGCTGCACTCAGGTAATGAATTATAGATGAACGATGTAAAATGATATACTATTGATAAAAAAAACTTCAATTTGGAATTTCAGTCTATAGCACACAGGTATAAAGAGAAAAGTAATAATTCTAAAATACTACCACTGTCCTTGAGAGTGTCCCTGTTGATAGTGGTTTGCCAGTTTTGAGGGCACAATGCAATTTAGGGATTAATGTTAGCCCTGGACATCATGCTACCTTGGACCTAAGCCCAAAGGGAATTCCTTCTTTAACCAGTCATGCTAATTTTAGCAACAAGAAGTGCGGTTTTGAATCCTTCTGATATACAGTTCATTGAACATTTCATTCATTTTCCTTGTATGCACAAAATTAATGTAAAATGTAAATTCACAGTATTTTTTAAAACTACATGCAGATTTTTAGAAAATACGGAATAAAAGTCAAATTATATATACTGTATACTATGACTTAGGAGTTTCTTACTCTGAAGCCGACACACAGACATTTCTTTGAGATAGAGTCATGCTTGCATTTATTTTTTGTTTCATTATCTGACTTACTCAACCTTTAAAGAGAGCTATGTAAGGTTCTGCCTTCTTTTTAATGAATTCTGCGGCTAAAAAAAGATTTTAGCAAACAAATGTGAGTGATGAAATAGTGTATTGCTATATATAGTTATGCGGTTGTTAATATTTTGAAAGAGTGGTTACATGGTACTTTCAGCAACGTAACAACATCGTCCATAGTAATTAATAGACATACATTTGTAGAGGGAGTAGGAGGAAAAGCATAGACTTAATTCAAGATCCAAATAATATATATTTTTTTCATTTGCTTTTAAGTACCGGGGTTTAAGTACCATCAGGGTTCGTGAGTAACCATGGTTTTAAATAATGCCCCTAGGTACGCATAGTAGTATTGCGCAATCTCCCAGAACACGAAGAAAGCACAGGAGTCATTTTTACAAGTGGCTCGAGAAGCGACACATCCAATCTCTCTGTCGGATCCCCACCAAAGGGGGTGCATCTCAAACGCCATTACAGCCCGCAACACAGGTGTGTAGACGCATTTCAACAGCAACCGGTCCACAGACAAGCCTTCCTTTACAACCTATCGTGCCTGCCTGGGGTTGGCGGGCCCAGCATTCACCCTGTCACACAGCCTCGAAGACAATGGGCCCAGCTGCCTGGACAGGAGGGGGAACCCCGGACGTCGCCGCGAGTTCCTACAGGCTGGGCTCGTGGAGCAAAGCCCACTGCAGCCTTCAGGGACGACTGCACCCGGAGCCTCCAACTTCGGAGCCCTAGGAGGCTCTTTAGCAATTTTGCATTAGGAATTTTTAAATCTTTCTCTTAAGTGACGCAGCCCCCTCCCTAACACCACCATCAGCACCAACAACAAATAAAAATGTGAGGCTCAGTCAGGGCTCACAGATTCATGCCTGCCCGACAAGCCTCTTCTCCGCAATAGAAAAGGCATCCTTGAAAAAACACAGAATTGTGGCCACAAGGCCACAAGATCGGTCGCCTAGAAGCCTGGGAGCCAATGGTAAGGCACAGACGCGAGCTGAGCAGAGCTGGGGCTGCTAGCGGAGGCGGAGCCGGAGGAAATGGGGCGGGGCCTCCGGGAGACACACCCCCGTATGGGCGTGGCCACCAGAAGAGACAGGTCCGGAGCCCGGGCAAAGGGGGCGTGGCCGAGGGCCGGGGGCGGGCGCTGCAGCACCGAGGCCCCGCCTCCTCCCCCGCCCGGCCCTTCGCAAGCAGGACGCAAGCAGGGAGGAGAAAGGGAGGCGGCGGCACTGGCGCGCTCCTCTCGGGGACCGGCCGACCCGGGGAGCGAAGACGTCGCTCCTCACAGCCCTTCCTCCCGCTCCGAGCCCTCCCTTCTCGCCATGTCCCAGAGCAGGCATCGCGTCGTGGCCCCGCCACTGGAGCGCGAGGACAGCGGGACCTTCAGGTCAGCCTCGGGCAGGAGGGGCGGCCCCGGCGGGGCCCGGAGACGCGGGGCCGGGGAGGCGGGGGCGCGGGCGCGGGAGCCGGCTCTCCCGCGGCATTCTGGGTAAAGCCCCTTCCGGGCGTCCCCGCCCCCGCCGCTGCGGGGGACCGCGGGTCTCGGCCCCGCCCTCCCGGCCGCCGCCGGCGGGGGTCTGGCCTGGCCCCGCCCCTCTTTCTGACTAGGGTGTGGGGTGCGCGGAGGTGGCGAGTCCGTGGGAAAGAGCTCGGTGGACTTGGTCCAGAGAGATGGCTGCACGGGTGACCTCCCTGTTCTGGGAAGCCTTCCTGCCTACGTTTAAGTTATCACCCTAAAGACCCCCGCACCCTCCCCAGCCCCGCCGCATTGGGGCAGGTAGATGGTGCCCCTTGCCAGTTCTGGCCCTGGCCACTGGGGAGCTTTGAGTACCTCCTTGGCGCCCTTGGCAGCTGTCAAAACTGGCTTCTGAGATCCTGTTCCTTCCCGCTTTGGCATGCACACAAAGCACACCTCTTTCTGGTTCTTGCAGTTTGGGGAAGATGATTACAGCTAAACCAGGGAAAACGCCGATTCAGGTATTACACGAATATGGCATGAAGACCAAGAACATCCCGGTCTATGAGTGTGAACGATCCGATGTGCAAATACACGTGCCCACTTTCACCTTCAGAGTAACCGTTGGTGACATAACCTGCACAGGTCTGTATGCACAGTTAACCACATGACCATGCAGAGTTGGCTGTCAAGACTTGACATTACTTTTCTGTTCAGAGAAGTGCCTTTTTTTTTTTTTTTTTTTCACCAGAGGTAGCTTGTGGGGAGCTGGCACTTGAGACTGAGATGTCTGATCTCAGGTCACTGAGACCAACTTCATTGGAATTTTCTCTTCCCTAGATACCAAGAGAAGCTCAGAAACATAACCTAGGGATGGTAGGGTACTTCCAAGATTCAAGGAGAAGCAGAAGTTGTTCTTGGAGCAGTACTGGATCAGTAGGGGCTATCAGATTTCATAGTTTTTTCGTAATCACAGATGGCTAAATCTGGGTCAGGAGGCATGATTTGAGAACTTTCAGAGTCTCTCCACTCTGTGAATAGACCATTTGGCCCGTCAGGCCCATTATACAACACTGTATTCTGTATCTAAGCAAAATGAGGGGTCCAGAAGGCTCAAATACAATGTATTGCTTAGTAGAGTCTAGAGTCTACAGTTTCTGAAACTGTACAGGTATTTTAATAAGACATTATCCCCTTTCTTATACATGAGGAAACAGATTTGGAGAGCTCATAAATTACATTTCAGAGTTCAGACTCATAGCTTATTATGTTCTGTAAGTTTAAGAAAATAACTGAACTGCCCCTTTGTAAATGTAGATATTGTATTCCCTATCTATTAATCACAAGCACAAGAAATAGTGGGTACTAAATTTAATTTGGAATACTAGCAAGAAAAATATTCAGGAAGGCTGAAGATCCACCGTGGGCAACCTGAAGGCATTTGTTTATATCCCTGGAAATCTGAAGTCCATTATTTACCTTGAAGCTTCTTTGTAGACAAAATCCCACACTAGGCTGTGTGCTCTTTCAAGGCAGAGACTCTGTTCTCTGCTGTATCCGTGACACCTATGTTAACGGGTAAAAGAATATCCTCGAGTATCCTTTGATAAATGTGTGTCCTCTGATACTTGAGGGTCACACTTGAAACTTAATCCATGTGCCTTTTGTTTCTTCCACACAGAGCAATGGACATCTGGACTCTGATACCACTTCCACAGGGTTCTCAATACCTAATTTGAAATCAGAAAGAAAAATGCCATGTGTGACTGGTCACTGAAATTTAGATACCAGTCTAAGTGATTAGTCAGGTTTGTCCATTATCCCTCTTAGCTACCCACGTAGGGATGTGGAACACACATAACAGAAGCTGTTACAATCTTCCCTACTGAAACATTCTCCACTCAACTTGTAGTCAGTGACAGCTTAGCCAAGCAAATAGATTTTATCTAGTATAGGATGGGCCATTTGAGTACAGTTGTGCACCTTTTGCAGTGACTATTGCTGTAAGTAACTCCCTTAAAGAAAACTTTTTGCTACAGAAGAATTTTCTTCCTCTAGGAATAAGGGCAGAGTAAAATACTAAGTTGCATTTTTTCCAAAGGTATATATGCCATGGTCTACTTCATTACCATTTTATGTAACGGACACACATAAAGTAGAAATAATAAGGATTTTTATGTGAACATGCATATACTTAAATATATGAAACATTAAATCATGATTTTTAATGTATTAATTTCATGTGGGGACTATTTTATTATAGTGTGTAACTATGAGTGTGTATTTGTATTTACCTAGTAACTATGACTTTATATTTGTATTTGTCTAGTCTATTAAGTATATAAATTCTGTAGTGACTTTGTATTATAAAATCATCTATACATGCTTCATATTTTCACAACATATAGTCTATACAATTTTTTTTTTCATCTTAATTCAGGTGAAGGTACAAGTAAGAAGCTGGCGAAACATAGAGCTGCAGAGGCTGCCATAAACATTTTGAAAGCCAATGCAAGTATTTGGTGAGCTAAATTTCTTTGTATTCTGCAGCTCAAAAATATCATGGCTGAGGTAAGATTAAAAGTTTGGACATGCTCACAAAAGCAACAAAGTAAACAGTTGTTAGTGTCTAGCTCTAAAATTCTGTTCTTTGTAAAGACCTGTTATCCATTAAAGGCAAGTTTATTCTTAAAAATTAAAACCAGCAATTAACTATGAAATGAAGATTCTCATGAATTAGCCCCCCCTTATAGGGTACAGTAGTACAAAGCCAGAATTTTTCTGACAACTCTCTTGTGTTGTTTCTGGGCGTCCCCAGTGGCGCAGCAGTTGAGTGCTGGGTTGCAAAGCTGCCCGCAGCCTCTGGGGCGCTGGTTCGATCCCCAGCTGCTCCCCGGCCACTGGAGGAGGGTCCCACATGCAGACCTCTACTGCAGCCCCCTGCTCCCCTCAGCAGTGTACTTCAGTCCTTCTTCCTGCTCTGCTCCCCGCTCTGGCTCTGGTAAATTCTCTCACCCTCCCGTGCTTCTGACTATACCTAGTGCTTGTATAAATAAATAAATCTTAAAAAAAAAAAAAAATGCAGCCTTTAAAAAAAAAAAAGATTGTGTTGTTTCTACACTGACAAAATCAAACTGTGCAGTAGCAATGGATAATCTAAAAGTATTCTTTAAGGAATTCCAGTTTAGAAGAAGGAGACAAAGGTATTTCTTCACATGATAGAATATATACAAATATAAGAGGATAGTGAAGTGAGATGTTAATTCTTGATATATCTATCCAAATTAAATTTATTCCACTTTAGGTGCTTTCTGATGGTGTGTCAGTTCTAAAGCATTTCATGTATCATAAAGTGGCATCCTTTGTTTCCTGAGAGGTATGCCCTGGGCCCTGGCATGCCTTCAAGTTCTTCTCTACATGCACTCAAATATCTTGGAGTACAATCTGATATAATCTGCTCATAGCCTATAGGAGAGTTTCCTGGGAATGTGTTTTTGTTCTTGGTCATAGCAGGACTTATAGCTTAGAGATTATTGAGGTTCTCATGCAGCACTCCTCCCTTTTTCTTAGTCACTCTGAACCATTTGGGAAGTTTAGAAGTAACCAGTGACAAGCTTTGGATCTCACAAAATGATGCTTGATTCTGCAGGTCATCAATTATAATTGATTTATGCTAGCTTTCATGACATGTTAAATGGTGTGGAAGGTGTTAGATTTTCCCCTTGCGGTTGATGGCCACGCTATTTCTGTGCAGCCCAAAGTGTTGCATATATT